ATTAGATTAATACTTTTCTTATATTATATAATATATTCATTTTGTTTTCATATTGTCTTATATCTTGTTCTGAAAGAAAGGTGATTCCAAACAATACACTACTTATTTGGAAAGTGATGTTTTCACCATTTTTATATGAGAGAATCTGTAGCGATAATTCCCTATTTACAATTAGGTAACTTGTTATGACACTAAAACTTGAAAATCGATGATCTATTTACTTTTAGTAAATATACCATACTTAGTCAGTATGTTTAATTTATTTAAATTTAAAATCTTTTGATAGTCGAAATCTTAAAAATGTTGTTTGGAAATTATCGTGCTGATTCTTAATACTATAGAATACTTTGATTATAGTTGATTGTGGGTTTTTATTATAGAACAAACTATCAGGATTCAATCATTATTTCATTGCGAAATGCAATTCTCAAGCAAACTTTTGGGAATTGGGGTAAGGATGAAATTAAATCAGATATACATGAGATATATAAAAGTATATAGGATAGACAGAAATAAATAACAAAAAGGTAATCGATACAAGTAAATTAAGGATACAGAGAGTTGCAAGAATATACATAATAATAGATATATGTTATTTATATCCTCATCGCTTAAATTATCGTTATTTACTTCTGTTATTTTTCTTTTTTTGTGGTAAATTTGGGTTGTAATATATAAAACTTTTACACAAGTTTATTTATTATATATTTTACAAAATTACAAATAATATTTAAGAGAAATAAAAATAAGCACTTATATTAAACTACATTTTTCTCATTTATAATATATATTCACAAAGTAAAGAATACAAGTACATAAGTTAAATTCATATACATAAAACAAATTAATGAATTTTATATATGGAATGTATTGTACTGTTAGGTAAATGTTTAGTTTATAAAACTAATATTTTTCAATTTACAAACTAGATTGTCTACATTAGTAAAACTGATGAATTCATTTATACATCTTTAAGATATAACAACATTCATGTTTCTTTTGTGTTTTTTGAATAAAAAAAAAAAAGATACTTGCTTGTCATATGCAATATTCCTGCTTAGCTCGGAAAAGTTCATTAATCATCCAATATACATATTCAAACTGAGAGATCTTGAACTCTAAGGAAGTAGATTTGTTCAACGGTGATGAATATTTTACTTAAAAATTAATCCTTAAAATATAAAGACAACTGTGGATAACTAACTTTATACTTTTAATTGAAACTATAAAATGGAAAATTGTAACACAAAAATTATGATTGTAACAGTTTATTGAACAAAAACTATATTTATTTATAGATAATTTATGTGTTTATTCCCCCACTTCAAAAATATAATGTGAAATGTTAAAACATTGAAATAAAAATTTAAAAACAGTACTATTCTTGCTTTTATGTCTGAGATGATCGTGTATGCCGGTGTTACATCTGAAGGTTTATTGTATAGATCACAATTTTTGTTTTAATACACCTCGGATTGTGATTGTAACACTGTTACAAAATAAAATTATTTCTTATAAGTAGTAACAATTAACACATAAATAATAATGGATGAATTGACAATCTTTGGTAATAATTATATTTGTTATTTATAAAATAAAATTAAAATGATTTTTAAACTTAATTTTAAATTTTCCTTTTTATTAATTATAGTAGATATGATACAACTTTCACTTTTGTTTCAAATTTAATAAATATCAAATATATTACTTTAGTTACAAATGTAAAATGAAGGAAACTTATGATTTTTTAACTTTTTTGTTAACTACAAAGGACAAACTCACAAAGATGAAACTCTATTAAAATGAAAGTTCCGAGTTGTCAGCTAGCGATATGACATACTGTTAAATATTTTTTGTAATAAAATGGACATTACCAATATTATTTCTAATGTTTAAATTAAACGCTATTAAATACTATGTTAGTACATTAAACATTACTAAAATTAATTAGGACAAGTGCACCAGTGATAAATATAGCTAAGGACATTTTTGGTTTACGCCGCCTTAATTATTATAATTATAAACTTCTCCGTTGGACATTTAGAATCTCTAAGGTCTTCTTTTTCTATTTAACACTTTAAAATTGAAAAAATATTCAGTTATGCAGGTATAATCTCCATTAAAAAAAACAACAACAAAAAAAAACACCTTTTTCCATTAGTGATGGACACACCAAAATTCAATTGTTTTAGTAATGGATATGGGGTCGGTACAAGTAATAGACATAAAATTATAAAATCTTTATTTAAATATATAGATAAGATAGGATAAATCTTAAACTTACTCTTAGCAAAACTGTTATACAGTAGGGAGTTATGTAAAACACTGATCTCAAGAACACAATAGAAACAATAAAGATAGTTTGAATTTGAATTGTTTGAATATGATAATTTAAAATTTTCTTTTGAGAACTTTGTCCATACAGTTGTTAATAGAGGGCATTGTTCTTCAATCAACATGGAAACTTATTATTTACATTTAAAGTCCAACCTGTCTATAACTGGTGCATTCACACTACGTAACTTTAAGCTACTAAATTATTTTTATTTTTTAATGCACCCGAGTTAAAAAAGTTATTCTGGGACTAAGTCCCTTTAGAATAACAAAATTGTACAAAAGAATAGAATACTGCTGGCCTAAAAGTTTGAAACAATAAATAAAATTAATAAAGTAAAGAAAACCTTAGGTGAACAAGCTATATACAATACGGATAAAACTATGTACAGAGTATTTAAAACTATGAACAAAACACTTAAAACTATGAACGAATCACTTGAAACTATGAACAAAACTATATATAAGGGTTGAACAACATAAACATACACTTTGAGAAATGAAGAACGAAAAAGAGATAGAATAAGTTCATTTCATAAAAAAAACTATACTTGTATATATATATGTGTGTATAAAAAAGTTAATTATAATTGAATACATTTTTTTTTTTTAATGTATGTATTGAAATTCCTACGTTGATAGTAGGAAAGGCATGTACTATCTCTTACCAAGTATTATCATCTGATTGCTACACAATACATATATAGTATTAATAGTTAGCTGGTATCGACTGTTTTTGGAACAGGAATTGGAATAGGAGGTTTTTGAATGTGTATAGGGAGGGGGCATGCCGAATTTTGATCGGGAGGGAATTCCAAAAGTTGACAGAGCGGACTATAAAGGAGTTTCGGAATGAGGCAGATCTATGAGAAGGGATGGGGTCAGAGGGTCGAGATCTTATAGTGAAGGAATGGATTGAGGACTTAAATGGGAGAAGGTTGTAGGCATAAGAAGGACGATGATCGGTAATGATTTGATAAAGGAATGTACCTAGGAAATATTGTCTTTTTAATTTTTAAGGAGGGGAAGGTGGGAGACACGGGAGCGTCGCGGGGTCTCAAATCATACGAAGTTATTCATAAGTCTTTTTAGTCTATCCCGGAGTTCCACCGAGAGACCATCGTACACCACACAACTGTAGTCAAAGTGGAGAAAGATGAAAGAGGAAACTAGGAGTCTACGGGTATTTTGGGGTAGAAGATGGTGGAAGTGATGGAATAGTTTGAGGGTAGAAATTGCAGGACAGGAGATATGGTGATTCCAGAAAAGGGTTTGATCTATGAGAAAGCCTAAATTTTTACCAAAGGGGTAGAAGGTGATGGGGTGGTTGTTTAGATAGACTGAGGGGAAGTTGGTGTGGGATCTAAGAAGGGGCTTGGAGCCAATGAGAATGGCCTGAGTTTTGGCAGCATTTAGCCTTAATCCATTTAAGTTGGCCCAGGCACTAATTCGATCTAAATCTTCTTGAATTTTGGCAAATGCCACTAATAACTCAGAGGGAGAAAAGGATAAATATGTAAAAACTTTCAATAAATTATTTGACGATATGGTCTCTTTTGAGGGTGACCATTCAGTATTCAAGTATTTATTGGTTCCTGAATTTTCCTACATGTTGTAGGCTTGCGTTAAAGCCATCCAGTCTCTTATCAAATACCCTTTAGCATTTGCCCAGATTAGTCTAGCCCTTCCTAGTTTTGTTAACAAAAATGACTTGGGTAATACCTATTTTACTCGTGTTCTGTTTTACCTATTTTATCCTTGGGTATACATGAAAAAGTTAAACTGAGCAACCCATTTAAGCTTTCCAAACTTTACAGTATTGATGTCCTGTATCCAAGTTGTATATTGCATATATATTAACCTCCTCCAATTACCATTATAAAAAAAAGTTAATACTCAGTCTTGGCAGTTTTCAAGATTTTCAATCTCTGGGAGGTCAGGATTAAAATCTTGTATTTAATGACCTTATGGCTTCTGATTTAACCTTCTTATTTCTACCATCCTGTTATTATTTTATGTAATCAAAGAACCCAAGTTAGTAAACCCAGATAACTGTTTAAACAAACAAGAAAGACTGAATGTAGCTTTACTCAATTTTAAAAGGGTTTTAGGAGATATAATCATATCAAATTCAAATAAAAAACACCAGTTATAATTTGAAGAAGTATTAGGTAAACATCAACCATGATTTTCTAAAATCGTTTTCATTTTTAATACAGTGCATTTTGGAACAGATTTTGAGATCTATAGTTTTACCATAATTATTATCGGTAGATATGTAGAGCCATTATGTAACCAGAAATAAAAAAAATATAACCTTAATTTCATTTATGATTAATATAATGCCTGGACTTGCTAGAAGTAAATTGATTATACTTTAATTAAAAAAACTTCTTTGGGTCCAAAAGAGAAGTCAAAATGTTATAAATTATAACTATACCACTGTGTTCCAGGATTTCAAATATATTATTTTTCTGTCTTATGAAAAATATTTTTCTTTTTAAATTTTAAGAACTGCATCCAATTCTCACTCCATATTTAAATATTTCTTCTTATTCAATTTCTCTTTAACCATTAGGTACATACTTTTTTTTTTCATATTAAACCTCAATATATCTCATTTAACATTAAACAAATATAATCATTTAAAAAAAATATAATTATCTTTAAATTACAAAACAAAATTTATTCTATAAATAAATAAAGACAAACAGTTATTAATTAATTTATAACATAAAATGAATTGTGTTTTATTTACATTAAAATATTGTGAAAACATGAAATATTTTTTTAAAAAAATACAAATGTGAATAGGATCTTTATAAGGAGCTAAATATGAAGGATGCTGGGGAAGATGGATTAAAGGTATCAACAATAGAGGTACTTTCCTGAAAAAAATATTTGAAATTACTAATAATGATACATACATCATTTATGTTTAAGAGGAAAAACAAATAGTATATACAATATTTTCAAATTATATTCATAATCAGAGTATAGTAAATAAAAGACAGAATATCGCACTGATAACAAAATAAAATTGCTTTTTCACATTTTAAAACAAGATGCCATTTCTGATAATTCCTGGCAAGCCAGTCCACAGTCTCATTTCTAAAATGTGTTGAGTGTTGAGACAGTAATTCAGCTCATTACATATTACATATTATCACCTAATTCACTTTCAAACTTCCACATCTATCTAATATTGGATTCTGTAATTACAACTGCTTGCTCATTAACAATTAATCGACAAGTGCCATTTGATTTTATTTGATTTTTTTTAATACATGTAAACCATTTAAAATGTATTATTGAAGGAAGTTAGTCGACTGTTCTACAAATGATGGGTGATAAATATTCAGGATGGAGTCATTATAAAGTTTTTATTAGTGCCGTTTCAACCCAAATATGTGGCTCATCATCAGGGCGTGGTTCGAGCACTGAAGGTATTCAAGTACTGGTACTTAGTATAGTACTTGAATACCTTCAGTGCTTGAACCACGCCCTGATGATGACCCATATGTTTGGGTTGAAACATCGGCACTGATAAAAACTTTATAATGACTCCATCCTGAATATTTATCACCCATCATATAAAATGTACTTGTGTTACTTTGTATACTGTATAGCTCAATTAACTGTATAATTGCAACTGTAATTGAAATTGACATTCAAATGACAAGAACCTCTTAGTATTTTGTCGAGCCAGATTGATAGGCTAATTTTTTGTACTATGTTATATTCTTGGGGGAGAGTTTAGTCCCGGAATAAAATTATTTTTTCATCATAAAATGTTTTGCTAACTTTTATTTTATAATGTAATTTATTTATTTTGTTAATAGCTCCAATATCATTAACTCGATAGTGGTGATATTCTGCCTTTTACAAGAGGATATTGATGTAAGGAAACTTACACATATCAACACAAATTTTTACAAGCATTTGCAATTCAATAAAAATTTTTTTATTGGTCCACAATTTTGTAGTATATATATAGACATACAATAATTATTAACAAACTTATAATTAACTCAGTTGGCCTACAATCAATAATAATTAATTGATCATATGATAGCAATTGACTATAACCCATTTCAATTTAATTTTAAAACATACAATTAAAAAAATATTAATTTTTTAGATAAATTTGGATAATTCTCAAAACCAGGACCAAAATAATAATCTATAATATTCAATAAATACAAATCAGTTTGTTTGAAATCAACTTTCATTGGTACACATAGGATGGATTCTAAGTAAATTAATAGTAACTTACGCAGCATACTTACACCATTATTTACAGCATTTTCTAAAAATGAATCGGTGAAACTGTAGTCATCTAAAATATCAAAAGTTTCACCATCAAAGTCCAAGTTGAATTTTGATAATGGCTGAAAATGAAAATTAAATTTACTTTAGGTAGATAGAAAAATACTTTATGCAAAGACAAAGTTCCTTTAGAATAACAAAATTGTGCAAAAATAAAAGACTACTTTGGCCTAAATATTAGAAACAATAAATAAAATTTAGAAAAAGTAAAGTAAAAATAGACAAGAAGAAAGAAAAAGTGAATAAGCTAATTACAAAACGCTTAAAACTATATATAATGGTTGAACAGCATAAATATACACTTCTTCTTCTTTCTCTAGCTCCTTTGTGCCGTTAAGCGTGGAGCTGCAGTCCCAGCCCATCTTGCCCACTGGTCTCTGTCCCTGGCTAGCCTTCTCATCTCCGGCATGGTGCGTCCTCTTGCTGTGCCCAGTTTTCCAATGTAATCATGGTAAGTGTGTCTCAGCCTGCCACGAGGTCTTCTGTCTTCCGGTCTAGCTTCCATAAACCACTTGACCTTTCGGGGGTCGTCCATCCTACAGATGTGCCCGAACCATTTCAACTGCTTCTCTTCCAGGATGCTACGGATTGATGTCACCTCCAATTCCTCATGGATTCTGTCACAGTCCCTCTTAGTTTTGCCAGCTATTCTTTGGAGGAATCTCATTTCCACTGCTGTGATCCTGCCAAAGTGCTTATCGAAGGATGTCCAGCTTTCAGATCCATACAGAAGCACTGGGAGAAACACTGCCTTATATATCCTGAGTTTAGCCTTTCTGCTTACTTCCCGTTTTCCTATGACTGTTTTGGCTATCTGGTAATATATTCCATTGGCATTCATCACCCGATTTAGTACCTCCTGGTCTATTTTGCCATCTTCATTGATAATTGTACCCAGATACGTGTATGTATTTGTTACCTCTAGTTATTCGCCATTACTTAACATCATAGGCTCCGCATTATCTTTTCCAACACAAATAACCTTCCTCTTAGACGGGTTTTGATGTAGTCCTCATAGCTTAAATTCTTCCTTCCACTCGACCAATGATGTCTGTAGAGCCTCTTGTGAGTCCGCAATAAGGATTATGTCATCGGCACACAAAATAGCTTGAGCCAACACTGGTGTCAAATTCCAATATCCCACAACAGCTCTTGGGGTTCTTCTTTTACACACTTTCCAAATTTCATCCATGAGAAGGATAAAAAGCAGAGGACTAAGATTATCCTCTTGCTTTATTCCTTTATAAAAGTGGAAAGGTTCCAATGTGTTTCCGTTGAGCCTTATTATACCCTTTGGGTCTTGGTATATAGATTTAATGAATGAATTATATTCATTTTCTGTGTGCCAAAATTTCTGCATAAATTTCAGACCTTCATCAGGGCTAAGCAAAGACCAGATAACAAATAGATACTGAAAAAATATTAGACATCTCACTATCATATAAAAAAGTTATTAATGAACAGGTCATATTTTATTTTACACATACAAAGGTAAACAAATTGGCAATAAGAATAATTACAATTATATAATAATATAATTTAAAGAAATTAAAAATGTCTGAACAGTTTTACAAATCAGTCATACTGTTATTTTAAAGACCTATTTTTGTAACCGTTACTTTGTAACTTCCTAAATTTAGATATTGTATGTTTCCCATTCCATATATTTATTAATGTTAGTTTAACTACCAATATATTATTTTACTAAGTTTTTTTACCTCCATATGATTATTATTACTCAGTATAATAATCATATGGATATTTTCTCAGTATTTCTTTGTTAACTGATCTTTGCTTAGCTCCGATGAAGGCCTAAAATTTAGACCAAAACATCGGCACAAAGAAAATACATATAATTTGTTTTTGTGAACTTGCAATGACTGAAATCCCCAACCAACTTCTTATCAACAATATCTTCCAACAGTCAACAATTATCCACCATCATGAAATAGATATAATAAAGATAACAGGTGAAAGGACAAATTCATGATTTGGATTTCAGTAATATATTATTATTAATGGATTTCATTAATATTAAAAAAAAAAAGGAATATATTACTGGTTTTTGCTATTAACTTATTAAAAATAGGAACTTACTTCTTTCTCCAAGTTTTCTGAATTGATGAAGAGTGTTGGCTCAATATCGTTGCATGAATCATCCATTGATAGAATCTAGAAATAATAATTCATGAAAATACATGTTTATAAAATACAGTTAGTAATATTGAGTATATTACATTTACAAACAACATAAAAATCTGCCCACAAACATAGATATTGAGATGAATTGATAATAAATCCAGAGCTCAGAAAATTTTTTTAAATCATTCATTTGAAATGTCATGATAAATTATTTAATTATTGCCCAAATTTCAAAAATTAAGAAAGAATTTTCAATATTATATTTCATTTATGCCAAAGAGAAAGCCATGAAGAGGAAAATACTCCTTAAGGCACAATGTACTATACCAGAGAAAAAATAATCTAAAACAAAAGCAATATGTAAATAACCTAGTTGGGCGTCAATTGTAAATAACCTTCTGTTTTGTCGGGGGTCTTGGTTATTTACACTCGTTAATTTTAATTTTTTTAAACAAAACCCTCGGTACTGGATGTAGACTTTTCGAGAGTGTTTACTTTTTTTGGGAATTCTGAAACATAATGCTTTTGTGACACTGAGTGACAAGAAATAACAAGAATATCTGAAATTTGGGACTGAGTAAATACACTTTAAATGAATCCCGTATAACAAAATAATTTATTTCCACAACTGTAATAAATGCATAAATAATTTGATCTTCTCAATCCTTAGTCCCACTCCACTTCTCTCCTCTGGTAACCTCCTTCCTTCTTCCTGTTACGGCCTCAAGTGTTCTTTGTTCTCCAGCGCCATTCTCCAGCTGCGGCCACCTGCCGGCACTTTTTCAGGCTTCTTCCTTTCTTTGTTCTGTATCTTTTTCGTCGATTGTTTATCAATTTGATACTTTTCAATAAACCACTCGTCCACTGCACAATTGATAGTTCAACCTTACATTCCCTCACTCAATATCACATTAAGGAGTAAATATTAGAGGCCATCTACTACAAATATCAAAATTTTTAATTGCTGATTCCAATATCAAATTAGCCAAAAATTAATAAATAAGGAAAAAGACTTCTGAAGTTTTGAACTTAACAAACAAGCCCATTCAAGCATCTTATACAAAATACTAAAACTCTCTGAGAGGGAAAGGTGCATCACATATAGACAATTTTCTACACTTTTTCTTAAATATCTCTAAAAATTCTGCTCAGCGGTTAATTTTTACTAAAATCAGTATTTACCAAGAAGTATTATAAAATGAGCAAAAGGAAAAGTATAAAAAACGACCCCTTCTCACACTCGTCCCTGATCAACAAATAAAACTTGTTTTTTTTTCCCTCCTGTTTTGACTAAATCTATTAGACAAATTAAAAAATTTCAGAATAAAATTGTATCATCTTATATACTGAGATATGTATAGTTTATTTTAAATTAATAATAAGACAAACCTCAGTAGTTTCTGCTTCTTTTTTAATATTAAATGATTGTTTTGTTCCGTTGACGACTTCAATTTCAAATGACTTTTCTTCTTTGCAGCTTATTTCTGATTTAATGATTTTATCACATAAATTCATCGGAAATTCGGGAAATAAAGAGGTTTCGCGCGAAGAATCACCGCCTCTGTAAGATCTGAAATTTTTAAAATCGGAAACTCCTGGTTCCAAATAAATTTCTGGTCCCTTGTTTAAGTTTGAGCTGGATGATGGAATGTTATTATTTATCTCAAAACACATATTTTCGACGGAAAAAGGAGTTGTATCAAAGTCGGTTGCCTGTTTCGATTTATTATTGATGGTCAAATTATGTTTAGGATTGCTGTCATTATTTTTATCCATTGGGACATAAATCAATATTGTATCATCTCTTTCATTTGAAATTTCAGAAGAGGAGGTATATTCGCTATTAATCATAAGTTCATTTGCAGTAGCAACTGTCTCAGAAGAGCAGGCATCGACAGCTTTTTTAGTTTTCAAAGGTCTGATGTTTGGTTGTGTTTTTGTATAAATGATAGCAGCTTCCCCTTTTTTCTTTCCTGAAAAAAATATAAATAAAAAATGAAATACTGATATACATCAAGAGTTCTTAAACATATGTAGTTTGAGGACCCTCCCCTCCCCCATAAACAATGTTCTTTCTTGCGGATCTCATTCCAATCCAAGACATTTTACCCTATTTCATTTAGTTTTTTTTACTAACCCTATCTCGCCTTTTTGTTGGCTATACAGGATTTTTTTGGCCAGGGGAGTGGGCGGGGTATTAATGCCAAGATTTAAAGCCCCCAGCACTGGGACTCGAGCTCATAATCTCCAGTCCATCAGGTTGCTTGGAAATGCGTGTTATATATCAATTCAATCAACATTATATATTCATATAAAGGTACATTAACCTAAAATATGGCCTACTGTAACATCATCAAAGTGGCCTATGAAGCCATTTGGCTTGGCCAGGGCTGATATAGATGAATATTCAAAACTTGAAGAATTGTTTAATATGGACAGTAGCAAAACAAAAACTTGAATGCCTATTTCTTTGACTTTTATAGGAGCCACAACTTTTAGTATGTGCTACACATGAAGAGATTAGTTTCAAAACTGCCTTATTCCATTTTCAATATTACACCATCAATTTATGATTTTTCCCAATTTGACATAGGTAACCTTCCGTGAGTTTAAACCCATTTTTATACTGAACTGAGATTGTTTTGGTCAATTTCGCTTTTCTATGTGATAGGAGTCCACTGAGCTGGTTTTAAATATACAAAGTGTGACCAGAGTAGCTCAGTGAGTTAGGCACAGGACTGCTAAACTGTAGATCCGAGATTTCAATCTGGATGATGTCAATTAATTTTTTTTCAGCTATGGATCGAACAGGTCAGATACACCCAGCCATTATAAAGTGGGTACTCTTATTTAAATAATTAATTAAGTGGTAAAGAATGTTTCATTTTGTTCTCTCCTTCCTCGCCTTTTAGGCTATAGGGGATTTTCCTGGGCTAGAGGATTTAATCCAGTTTTTTTTTTCTGCCATAAGGATGCACCACGGTCTCAAAAAGACCTATTGTGCGTTGTCCTAAAACTCTATTAAAACAAGCCAGATTTCTTTGTGAACTTGTTAATACTAATGGGATCTATTAGTTCGCAGTGCTTAGGGTCAGTGATACGATCATATCCAAAGTGAAAGTATCGCATTCTAGTCAAATTATCACATCTGCATACAATGAAATATGCAGTATCATCCTCCAAGCCACACAGCCTGCAGATGGGAGTCTCACTTAAGCCCAAGTTAAAGAGGTGCTTATTGATTCAACAGTGATAGTGTCGAAGTTAAAAGCCCCTGAGCACCGGGATGCAAACTTGTAACTAATTTTTATCAAATTATCTTTGATCAAGTTTGCCGGTGCTGTGCATACGCATTAGCCCCCTTGACCACCCCGCCCCTCTAAGGGAGAGAAAAGCTGGTAGTTGAGTGTGATTCTGGCCCGATCACATACCTCCACAACCTTGGTCTTAAAACAGTACTTCATAACAAAGTACTGAAAACTCTTCATGGGTTGTAATGGTACAGGTTATATATATATATATATATATATATAAACAGTTAGCATAATAATTTGGTGATATCAAGGTAACTGATCGAAAAAACATAAAAAAGAATTTACCATTGACTTCTTGAACAGGGAAAGTCAAAGGATTTTTGGGCACAATGACTACTTCATTATCAGCGATACAAGATTCTCCTTCTTCACTGTGAAGGGTGATTCGATCATTCGAATCTTCCATATCTCTTTCTGAATACATATTATTGTCTAAAAAAAAAAGAAGAAAAAAATTAAATATAGAATAGAATAGAATAGAAGACTCACCTTTATTCTGGGACAAAGTCCCTTAAGAATAACAACATTGTTCATACAAATTAACATTAAATCTGACAGTAAAATAATAACTAAAATATAAGTAATAAGAGAAGGATTTCCATAGCTATACAGATATATTAAAGAAAAAATATGAGCAATAAGGTCACAATACTGCTAAATAGTTGTTACAAACAATAAAGTAAGAAATAACTAAATGAAATTGGAAAAGAACAATAAATTACTTCTGTTGTCAAACCATTGTAGTAATGAAAAAATAATAATAAAAAAGTAGATAAATATTTGGAATAAATGATTTACATCTGTACCTTAATATGTTGAAATGAATACTTACAATAGTATTGTAAACATTGGAAAAGTCTTATATAATCTATATCCTAAGATGTAGATTGATACAAGAGAACAAAAGAAAAAAAATATATATATATTTTTATATACATATATAAATTGTATATATATATATATATATATATACCTCTATCTGCCTACCTTCCTTTATCCTCAGGAGTTGCACAGGGTTCAAGCATGTCTCCTCTTCTTTTCAGTTCTTATATTAATGACCTAAATGATTCAATTATCCATTGTTCCCACCACCTTTATGCCGACGATTCTCAAATCTATTTATCCTTTTCTCCCGCTGAGTTATTGGTGGCATTTGCCAAAATTCAAGAAGATTTAGATCGAATTAGTGCCTGGGCCAACTTAAATGGATTAAGGCTAAATGCTGCCAAAACTCAGGCCATTCTCATTGGTTCCAAGCCCCTTCTTAGATCCCACACCAACTTTCCCTCACTCTATCTAAACAACCACCCCATCACCGTCTATCCCTTTGTTAAAAATTTAGGCTTTCTCATAGATCAAACCCTTTCCTGGAATCACCATATCTCTCATATATCCCGCCGTGCAATTTCTACCCTCAAACTATTCCATCACTTCCGCCATCTTCTACCCCAAAATACCCGTAGACTCATAGTTTCCTCTCTCATCTTTCCCCACTTTGACTACAGCTGTGTGGTGTACGATGGCCTCTCGGTGGAACTGAGTGATAGAATCAAAAGACTTATGAATTGTTTCGTAAGATTTGTAATTGGAACCCCGAGACGCTCCCGTGTCTCCCACCACTACACTGAGTTAGGGTGGCTCTTCCCCTCCTTAAGAAGACAATATTTCCTTGGCACTTTCCTTTATCAAATCATTACCGACCATCGTCCTTCTTATGCCTACAACCTTCTCCAATTTAAGTCCTCAATCCATTCACTCACTACAAGATCCCGACCCTCTGACCTATACATCCCTTCTCATAGATCTGCCTCATTCCAAAATTCCTTTATAGCCCGCTCTGTCAACTTTTGGAATTCCCTCCCGATCAAAATTCGACATGCCCCTTCCCTTTATACATTCAAAAACCTCCTATTCCAATTCCTGTTCCAACAACAGTCTGATACCAGCTAACTATTGATATTATATATGTATTGTGTAGCAATCATATAATCATAACACTTGGTAAGAGATAGTACATGCATTTCCTACTATCGACGTAGGAATTTCAATACATACATTTTCTTTTATTTTTTTTTTTTTATCCAATTATAAGTAACTGTTTATTTTTATATATATATTCAAGTAAATTTTTTTTTTTATGAAATGAACTCATTGTATCTCTTTTTCGTTCTTCATTTCTCAAAGTGTATGTTTATGTTGTTCAACCCTTAAATATAATTTTGTTCATAGTTCAAGTGATTCGTTCATAGTTTTAATTGTTTTGTTCATAATTTTAAATGCTCTGTACATAGTTTTATCTGTTTGTATATAGCTTGTGTACCTAAGGTTTTCTTTACTTTTTATTTTATTTTATCAATTTTATTTATTGTTTCAACGTTCAGGCCAGTAATATTCTATTATTTTGTACATTATTGTTATTCTGAAGGGACTTAGTCCCAGAATAAAGTTTTTTTTTCTATCTATCTATCTATATATACACATATAGAGGAGTGCATTCAATATTAGTAAAGAATTAAATACATTTCAAAGACTTATTAACAAAGAATATATAAAGAACGGTAAATGTTATTTGGGTTGTATTCTTAGTAAGACTTACATTCACCATTGTCTGTATTATTGCTAGAATAGTTCGAAGGTAAAACGACAACTTGAGGTCTTCCGGAACTGTCCTTTTTTTGTATGATACTTGCCACAACCGGAAACTGAAATAATTAAAGAACAATTTCTTATAAATATTTAGAATCCAAATTAGTTCTTACAGCTAGTATCTACACTATATAATACAGTAGAATAGGTCCCTTTTCGGACTCAGCAATGATGAATGAGGGGATCAAACAAAAAGAAATTTAGTTATCTTCTTATTTTTCTTTTTTTAGGAAGCCTATGTTTATAAATTTTTTCATAGTTAAGGCAATGAATAGTTAATGCAGTTTAATAATGAATAAGAAAAGATGTGTAACACCAAAAAAATATAAAATGAATTTGACAAATATTTGAATTTTTGACAAATTGTGCCACATCAAAAAAGCAAGGTAAATAATTGTACAATAGATGAATTAGATTGGTACTGTAAAAACAGTTTATTTAAAATGTGTATAGTTTCAGTGAATATAAGGATTGCTCTGATGATCGGAAAATTGTCCCGAAATGTTAGAGATAATAAATGTGATTAAAGGAATTTGAAGGAAATTGGAAGTATTATTTTCTTAACTATGAAAAAAAGAAAATTAATTTCATGGAAAAGTGATGAATCCCAATTTTGATTCTTAAATTCTTTCAACTTTAATAAAATTCATTGAAAAATGAGAGGTTTAAAAACTCAGAAGTCGACAGATCAAGACGGAATAGATTGTATTTTAAATAATTTGGTATGGGTATTAAGACCCAGTATAGTTTTTTTGTTTGGAAGTATTATGTCCTGCATTTCGAAGACCTATAATATGAATCGTTTTTGAGATAAAACATAATTCTACCCGTAAGCCTCTTAGGTGATATGGATATCATGAAATTTATATCATATGTTTAAATTTTGAAAATTAAAATATTGGTATTTATGATAAGTCTTAAATGAACTAAAAAATAAGGGAAACAGTCATATCATCCCTTGTGCACTTTGTATGATATAGAAAGAAAACTTTTTTATATCTTTAATAAATAGAAGAAATATCAAGGAATGGCTTCTATACTCTTAGTAAGTAAGAAAATTAGAAAAAAAGACTCTTCTAGACCAAACAAATAGGTCATGAGCGATACACTATATACACTAACCCATTATGGGGTAGTGTAAGTTAAATAGTACCTGCGTCATATTACTTAACTGTTAAACTAGAGGTATATTTTCCAATGGGGCAAGAAAATCACTAACTAAGTAACTTGTTTCTTTAACAGTCGTGGTAAAGAATGAAACTTCACCATTTGAATTCGGGGGATTAACAGACGTAGCCATGTTTACTCCTGTACACGAGTTAAAGAGGCTTTATTCTACTTCCTGACGGCAATTCCTTCTTGGTGTTTTCCTTTTTCAAGTCCTCAGAACCAAAAATCCTCCTTACATCCTAGAACTCCTTACTCTATGCACCTCTATCCACTCTCTTAATACAAGATTTCAACATATAGAACTATATATTTCCTTCCATAAACAAACTTCTTTCAGCAAATCCTTTGTCATTCGTGCTATCTCCTTTTGGAACTCCTTACCTATCTCCATATGTCAATCCTTGTCCACATATTCCTTGAAACAACTCCTATTCCACCACCTACTACACATTCAAACTTTCGCCAGCTTATAAGAATTTTTAGGGTATGTAAATACAATTGCTCACCAACAGGTAAATGATAACAGCCTTTTTATTTTTCGCTCTGTATTTTTTTGATACATCTATATCATATTCATATGCCAGATTGAAGTATATATTTTCTGTACTCTGTTATTATTCTAAGGTGACTTTAGTCCCAGAATAAAATTAATTTTTCATTTCATTTGAATGTGTTGGATAGTCTATCTTGATAATATTATATTGCATATAGGAATAAACATGTCTCAACGATGTTGCTTATACGTCGACTGCATTAGATAGGACAGCTAGCTATCTAATGTGAGAGTTCTCACTGGTTCACATTTATCATTCCTAAAATAAATTATCACCCATCGTATATAGAACAGTCGACTAGCTTTCTTCTATAAAATAAATTACATCTGATTTAATTGTTTTAAAAAGAAATTCCTTCTCATTGTGTGATCGGACCACTAATAGCAAAAATAAAGCTTATTGTAATTTCTAAGCATGTTATTTCAAAACATGTATGAAGTTTTAAAATAATTTTCTTTTCCTTGGTTTATCACAATAATCAAGAAAATAAGAATTTATTCTTCCATCTTAAAGCACGTTGAATCATTCTATTTTCTTATTATTTTGTCAGTTTTACACTGACTAATATTCTACACGAATTATATTATATAGTAATAAAAATTATATATTAATAAAAAAATAAATTCAACAAGTTGGTATCTAATTACCTTCGGTTGATTAGAATTTTCACCAGCAACAAGATACTTGGCGAGGTCTGTATTGGTTGGGTTAACTAACATATATATGTCTCCTTGAATTATGACTTTACATATTTTAGGCTGAGCATCTATCGACTCGTAGAACAAAACAAATGGAACTTCTCTATTTTTGTATAAATTTACCATCGCGAGGGTTGGCTCTTCATTAATGACAGCTATGACGTCGTCCTGAAAAAAAAAAATAATAAGAAGTTGCAATGACAAAACATAGTTCAAATTCTAAGACTGCAAACTAATGACAGAATATCTCATACACCAAGAAATATTTCAATCTTATAAAAATTGAAAAGGATGGTAATTGCGAAGTTTATAAAGTGCCAGAATAGATACTGCAAATACAGGGAAGAAAGAGAATACCGGAATTAGGACCGGAGGAAGATGCAACATTTCTAAAAAACTTAAATATAGAGAAAATCAAGAAGATTAAAAAATGTTTTTCACAAATATACAGTGGAAAAATCTTTTATTTATATATATATATATACTCTAATGGATACCTTTATCGGAAGTAGGTAAAAAGTGCTTAATAAATTAATGTTGAACAGTTAAAAGGCTAGCTAATCTAGTTCTACTAGTCCAGGGAAAAGAAAATGGCTGCTTTGTAGTTCCCCAGAAAGGAAAATCCCAAAGAGGAGAAGGGACAAAGGATTTTTGTTTTGGCAAGCAGTTGTTGTGTAACTGTAGAGAAGAGAAGATGGGAGAAGGGATCCTGGAGCCTGTGGGTAAAACCCAGTAATAGTATTACCATCTTGGGAGTTGTTGTTTGGCCGAGGGACTGGTTGTTTGGAACTATAAGAGAGAGTATCTCCCAGGGTGCTTCAGTTGAGTAAAAGAAAGAACCGTGTTAGGCAGAACTTAGGAAAATCTTAGATGTATTGTTACAAATAATTTTAAGTAATATAGTATAGTTGGTGTTATAGCACACATGCGATAGTTATAAATTAACTACTATAAATTAACTACTAATAATAAACATAACTTTCTAAACGATGTAAAACATATTTTATATTTTAAAAATAATACTTACTCCTTTTTTCTTATAAGGATCGCAGAAAGTGATGTTACTACTATCCTCTTCCTGCAAAGAGCCTTTTTGTTTCTTTTCATAAGATATCGGCAATGAATATAAAATATTATTTGATTCATCAACAATGGCACATCTAAAAATAATTGTTTTAAATAAACACGGGTAATAGTTAATTAGGACAAAGCCAGTTTTTTAAAGACTGTTTTAAATTAACAATACAGATATATCAAATCTTTTACTGAACTTAATTATATTAAAACTGAATAATAAAAAAAATCTCTATACATCGAATAAAATTTGGATTTTGTAAGTATTGAACAAACATTTTTACAAAGTAAAAATGATACTAAATTAAGAAGTACACATTTTCATAAAGATATTAAATCCAACAGCAATTTTCGTACGAATCAAAACTGGTTATGGCAGAGGTACTATGAACCGAACAAACGTGGTTAAGTATTGTCATGAGTTTAATGAAGACTGCATAAAAGAGTTTTATGAGGAATGCATTAAAAAATTTGGGTCATGACTTATAACCTGCATAGAACGGTAAGGCAATTACATGAAAAAATAATTAACATATAATAATAATACTTTATTTATTCTGGGACGAGTCCCTTTAGAATAATACAAAACTACAGAAATGTGGGCTAAGGAGCCTCGGAGATACATAAATAATAATTACAAAGTAAATAAACAGACATAATAAAAAATATCAGTTACTTTCTGACTTTAATCGATTGATAAAAAAAATTATAAAACATAAGTAAAAATAATTAAGAATGATCTAATAATTTATATTCATATTTATAGTAATATCAATTGAGAAACACCTACAATATCCTGTAATTATTTTTAAATATTTTTTTTTGTTTAAATACAAAAATTGAATACTCAAATATTATTATTAATTGTGTGTGTCATGTCTTATTTAGAAAAATCAGCTACAATTTATAAGAACAAAAAAGATTATTTATAAATGTATGTGTATTCTGCCATTTCATTCGTTTATATAACTTTTAGCTAAATCTTTAAATTTTAAGAATTTAGACGCATTTTTACTTTTCGCCATGTCAAATGAATATGAGTATCAAGTAATAATAAATTTTCAAGAAACATAATGGATATTTAAAAAGGTAAGGTATACTGGTTTAGACTTACTGAGGCTCAGTTTTCATATTTTCCCATAAATTTGAAATTTGTTTCTTTGGAAGAGCAATAGTAATATTATGGATAGATTCCATATGACAAGAATAAAGATTTTGTTTTCCAAAGCTAATATTGCATAAATCGCATTGATAGTGATCTTTTCTGGAATGTGTTGAAATCTGTAAAAATATTAATTATAGCTTTTATTTATTAAGAACACCATAGTTTTCTAATTTAAATTGTAAAGCAAGAGGAAAAATATTTACAAACTGATAAAATCTGTCAAATTGGAGTTGGATTTTCGGCCCAGTTTGTAGTATTCTTGAATTTTTATCAGAAAAAATATTCTGTACATCAAATAAAATGACTATATATTAAACAACAAATCACATTTACCTTATTTTACATTAATATATATATATTTTTTGGCTTAATGCAAGCTGGTCTTTCTGTCGATAAGCCTTCGAACTCAAACATTATCTACTAAAATTGTGGCGTATTACTCTGGGAATACCTCTTGTTTAATTCTAAATATATATTTTTGTTGTTAGACATAGTTGAGATATTTAATTAAAATATTCTGGATGAAACTATTTACTATAAATAGTGAATATCATATTTACTATAAATATGATATAAATATCCTTTATATCATATTATTCAATTAAATATTTATAAAATTCATTAATTTGTTTTTAAATATATTTCATTATTTTATAAATTTAATGTTATCACTAAAAATACAGAAGTTTACCTTATGACATACTAAATTTGACTTCTGATTAAATCCTTTGTTACATATTTCACATTTATAAGGTCTCTCATTGGTATGCGTATACATATGATTTCTCAAATTACCTTAAATGAAAAAAATTACAATTGACTTATAATTATAATATAAAATATATGTTTAGTGTAATAAAACAAAAAGATTACTTTAATATTCATTAAAGAATAGTTTAGAAAAAAAAACAACATTAATATTTTCAGCTAGCATTATCAGTTACTAAATCTCAATTAAACTATACTTGTAAACAATCTTCGTCAATTTTTAAAATAAAATGCATGAAAATCGTTAACTACGGCTGAAATTTTGTATTTTTTGGATTACATTAACGAACTATAAGTATGGTATCATTTTTTTAAAATGTAAATTAAACAAATATGTAAATAAATTCCTTAAATGTAATAAACATTTTTTTTTTTAACCAATCGAGTTAAATGAACTACCTTTTTGATGGAAACCTTTTCCACAAAATGGACAAACATGTTTCTTTTCATCATAATGTATCTTTTTGTGAGATATAAGGGTGGATATTCTATTGAATGATTTCTGACAAAAATCACAAGAAAATGGTCTCATATTCCAGTGGGTAGCTTTGTGCTGAGCTAGTGTACTTAGCTAAAACAAATATTTCCTGTTAAATTTATTTGTATTTCTAAATAAAACATATAGTCCATGGTACAATCCTCTTTTTATCAAATTATTACCATCTGCCGGAAATTTTGTAAATAACTTCATCTCATTGTAACATACAAATATTTTATTTACAAAATTCTAGGAATTGGGGCATTTTCAATCTGGAAGGGGAAAAATTTTGTCTATTTAATTGGGTACTAAAAAATCGTAAATACCCATCTGCTTTCTGCCTGAATCATAAGATAATTTGATCACTAAATCGAGAAAAAAATGTGGTTTTCAAAAATATTGAGCCGTTTGTCATGACCTATACCCCCAAATTGTTAAAATAACGAGGTTATATAGGATTCAAGTGGAAAGCAAGTGGGTATTTACAAGTGTTTAGTACTTCCTTAAATAGACAAAGTTTGCTCCCTTTAAGATTGAAAACACCCCAATTCCAAGAATTTTCATAAATAAAATAGTCTGATGATGAGAGGAAACTATTTACGAAGTTTCAAGCAGGTGTTAATAATTCGATAAAAAGGGGTCTGTACAATGGACCCATACATATCATTGGTACATTGCAAAAATCTTTAGATGGAACCAAACTTTTATGTACGTTATCGTAATTTTTCTTTTCTATTGCTTCAAAAACAGTAAATGAATCAAAATGACACTAACATTATATTAAAAATAGTTATACTCTTTTTACAATAAACCCAAGATATAATAAAAATAGAATAGAAAAATCAACTTTATTCTGGGACAAACTCCCTTAAGAATGACAATATTGTTGATATAAATCAACATAAAATCTGGCCAAAAGACCTAAGTATATTTGTAGAGTATATTGTATAAGTGTAGAACCTTTTTTCAATAAATGCTGCAATAATAGTTTATGTTTTACTGTTGCTATTTTTATTCATAAGTAAATACACACCCATATGCATATATTTACATTCAACTTAATTCTATTGATTTTCAAATTTTCATAACGTAAATATATAAATATTAATTAGTTCTAGTACTAGATTAATGAAGGCTGTGCAAAAATGTTTTAAATAATGGTTCAAATTTATATAGTAAAAGAAGTAAAAGTGAAAAATACGATATGAGACTTTGTTTTTAATGACCTAGATAACCAGTAATTTTATTCTTTCTCAATACCTGGCATCTTTTCATTAATATTTATTTATTTTATCGATGAATTTGTAGAGTGGTCTACTTTAAAAGCTGCATCTGTTATCTGTTATACCTCAAATACACTTTAAATGGTATATAAAAAAATTGACTAAAATTTGTATAAATAAACTAAAACCATCAATCCTGATTTTGATTTTTCAGTACGTCATCAGTATGTTCTAATTAATCAACAATAAAGTCTTAAATCTAGATACATTATTTTCAACAGACTTTTTGACATATACCATTTATATTAAAATTTTCTTTTAAACACAAAATGAAGAAATTTGAAATAATTGACAAATCAAACTCCGGACTTTAAACTAAATTCAGCTAAAAAACACAGGTTTCCCACCTCTAGTATAATGTAATGTAAAGGTGCATTTAGACATTTCACAAACAATGGAGCAAAAATATATACAAATTGTTGTTTTGTTATGCTAAAGTTTTTGTTTCTTGTTTTTGATGTTTTCCATCAGTTGTCGATAACAAGAGAAATAAAAAAAAAAGTTTGGTGTAGCTCTAATGTCACTGTTAGTTAAGTTATATAATTGTGTTTCTAGTAGTTCATGAAATGTCTAAATATATTTTAAAATATGTACATTTGTAGAAACAAATATATGAGTGATGAAAACATATTTAGTATTGAAAATTTATTAACCTGTCTGAATGCTTTAGGGCAAATATCACATTGGTAATTCCGTACATCTGTATGAGTTGGTATGTGTCGGACTAAAGTATACTGAAATCTAAATTCTTTTCCACCTGAAAAAGTGCCACAATAATATAAAAATTGTATTAAGATTTTAACAGTAATCTTTGGCAAAATTATAATAAATAACAATGTCTAATTGAATGATATATCTTTATAAATTGTAGTTGAATATCATTGTATGCTTTTCATATAATGAATTACTTACATAGACCACATTCCCAAATCTTAACTTCCCTTCCATCTTTATGCAATGTTTTAACATAATGCCTTTTAGCCCTTATGTCATCTTTGTCCACTTTAACAGTAGCTGAGGAGTTCCTATCAGACTTTGGTACCCATAATCCTTTCCCCTAAAAAAAAAAAAAAAAAAAATTGTAAATAAAAATGAAACCAGAAAAATCTTTCTATTTTAAAAATTTACATTGCACAAATAAATTTTCTTAAAACTATTTAAACTAGATTTGAATTGAAAAATTAAAAACAAACAAAAGCAACTTAAATAGAGTTACACTAGAGGTTGAATATTATAGGAAGTAAGGTTCATTGATTTGGGAGGCATTTGCAAATATCTGAAATTCAGGGTTTTATTATACAGATAGCATTTTTGGTTGATCAATATTTTTTCCCACATAACTTATTATTTTTTTTTTTCTTTAAGTATCACAAATCACCGACAATCTATATTTTAAATAGTAACTTCCTTCCAATCTACAGCACTTTGGTGCTAAAGAAAGGGGGAGGAGGAGAGAGAGAGAGGTTGCCTTACAAAATATGGCCCATTAACTCTGGAGATTTTCCCAGTTATTTAGATTCATAAAAAATAAATAAATAATTAAAACATACTTATAATAAACAAATATAATTCATACTTTGTATACTGGATTACCACAGACTCCAATAATTGTAGATATATAATTAACTTCACCAGTCTGTAAAAAAATTATTTATTTATAAATTATATTTATAAATAATAAACCATTACTTATGATGTGAATGTATTGAAACTGTACACACACATGTTTATAAAAAAGTCTTCCTAGAATCAAAAATTACCTGAGGCATTTCGATGTAAGAACGAGACAGGTACTGAATTCTGTTATAGTCCTGATCACTGATTGAAATTTCGCCCATTTCACCTGACAGTGGATCACTGTAAGAAATAAGATTAAGTTAGTTTGATTATATAGAAAGTGTTCATATTATGGAGTATGTGGAGAAAGAAAAAATTAATGAGAATAGTGAAACCTGTTTTAATTATTTCTTGAATAACTATAAAATTGAAAAAGTAGTTCAAGTATTATAATTAGGAGTTACATTTCCAAACAAATTTATATTTATTAATATTTACAACTCTATTAACTAAAAATACATCAAATAAATGTGAATTGATTATATGACATGAACAGAGAACTTGAACTCTATGAATCCAGATAGAGCTTATAATAGTCGAGTAAATGAGTCTCTGAAAAAAAGAGTTCAAATAAGTATTTTCTGTATTTCCATACTATTAAATCACAAGACACATTTGACTTCAAAAACTCACAAATATTAACAATAGAACCAAAAACAAACAATAGGAAACTGCTGGAAGCCATACATATAACAAAAAACAATAATAGAACAGTAAACTATAAAACAGATACAAAACACTTAGGTACACACTATTCTGACATAATGTCCAATATTGAAATTCAAAAAAACAACAATAGATAAAGAAAACAACACAAGAAACAGCCATAATAAGAAATAAGAGGACAGTTACAAAGTACAGTAATGAAACTGAAGATAGCCAGATGTTGATTAGTGTAACAATGAATAAGAAAAGATGAGCAACACCAAAAAAATATAAAATGAATGTGACAAATATTTGAATTTTTGACAAATGGTGCCACATAAAAAAAGCAAGGTAAATAATTGTACAATACATGAAGTAGATTGGTACTGTAAAAATAGTTTATTTAAAATGTGCACAGTTTCAGTGAAGATTAGGATTGCTCTGATGATCGGAAAATTGTCCCGAAACGTTAGAGATAATAAATATGATTAAAGAAATTTGAAGGAAACTGGAAGTATTATTGCCTTAACTATGAAAAAATGTATAAACATAGGCTTCCTAAAAAAAGAAAAATAAGAAGATAATCAATATTTTCAATTCTGAGAAGTTTGTGTTTAAACCAACATGATTCATTTCCCCCCTCCTTTTTTTTTTTTAAATTTAGCTCCAAAATAAGTACCTGAAGAGATAATCAGTGCTGAAAAAGTTTTATGTAGAAACTTTTATTAAAATCTAATAAAAGAAGATAAAACATTGAAATTTGAAACAAATAACAATTTAACAAATAACTAAACGGAGAAGAAAAAGAAAAATATTATTGGTGTATGTTTGTGAATCACTATGTATTATTACTCAGATTGGTAAAGTTTATAAAAATCAGTGACATAGTGATAAATAATATAAGAGATTGGAAACAAAAATTAGTAATATTTGGTAAATTAGTAATAAAGTATATCTTTTAAAAACAACTATATACAGATTAAAATTTTTTTTTACCATTAGTAGAAATGCAGAAGTATAAAACTCGTAAACATGAAAAAACAGTAGGCTACTGGACGATATGAAGGGGAATGTCTGGTAAACTCTTACCATAGGTGCCTAAAACCATTGTGATAGCCCTTATTATAATGATAGATACAGTTAACTAGCAAGCGTGTATATCCAATTTTTTTTTTCATATATCCTTAAGTTTCTGTTGCATAATCTTGTACACTTATTTTAAATATACAAGCAGTATAATACAAGAGGAAATTGAGAGAATTGCTTAGACTCTGATTAGTAAAACAAAGCAAATCGGCCTACAAGTAAAATAAGGTAAAACAAAATATAATAAGCCAAGAATACACCCCAATAAAAGAATCTGCGTAGAAGGGCAATTGTTTCTGAGAGTACACAAATTCATATATCTCACCACTACAATAATCTCAATGAATGATGAATGGTTGGAAATAGACGAGAGTATAACAAGCACAAACAAAGCTTTCTTCTCGGTTTCAAACATACTGAAAAAAATAGCCCAAAATAGAAAGAGAAAAATAAGGCGGCAAAATATCAACAAGGTGTGTTATGCCAACAGAAAAAAAATTTAACATTTCTAAAAATATGATGATGTAACATGTAATATATTATGGATTTATATTTATACGAAAAATTAAGGAACAATAAAAAAAAAGTTTTTGATGAAGTGAATAAACATGAAGTATTTACACTAGCAGGAAAAAGTAACTTCAACAAATTAAAAAAAATTATTATTTTTTTTTGGAGGGGGGAGGTTCTTCAGTCCGAAAGCCCCTGAATCTGAATCCGCTAATGTATGTATAGGTTTACATTCTGTCATTTGACCTGAAGTTTTTACTCATCTAAACTCATTGCTGAAGAGGTGCGTTCTTACACCATAGAACCAAAATTAACTAGAATGGCATTTATTTTTATTTTTTTCTTACTTACTAATTCAGTGGTCAAACAATATATAAATTATAATACTTGGTTTATATTCACCTTGATAAATCAGGATTTTGATCATTTCATAAATCAATAAAATCTGCTTTAAAGAATGATTTTGCAGGTGATAAATATTTATGAGGAAATATAATAATTTATGAATCTCTACGTCTTAATTTTGTAGGAACAAATAATCATGTACATCATTATTTTTATAAGACAAGTTCAAATAAAATGTTATTAATAATTGAAGTGTTTTGTATTTTTAACAAGATGGAGGATTCTTTTAAAGTATTTAATTTGTTATTTCTGCAAGAATTTAATTTTTATCTTAACTCTCTATAATTTGAGATACTACCCCAAAAGTCTTAAGTATTTTTTTTAAACCGTAACTAGCAGAATTCTAGTTCTCAACTAAACTTTTAAACCTATAACTTGCGCTAGAACTAATTAATACCAAACGGCACTTTAAATTACTTTTTTGGAACTTTTCACAAGTTTCAGACACAATTAATTGTAACTAATTATGTGAAAAAAAGTTAATTGATATTACCTGTCAGGGGATGAACCTAATCCACTATCCATACTGTCTAAATTATAGTCATTCATGGTTCGAAGATTATCTCCAAGTAAGAGGAATTGAATAAATAGGAGTTTAAAACTTTATCTATAAATCTGAAAAACCAAGGTTTAGTGCATTTGGATCAAAGACTTAAGCGATACATTTAAAATAGTTTTAATAATGCTTCCAATCTAACTTGGTAATGTTTATTATATCCCTCACAATTGATAATAAGGAATGCATGTAGTGAAAAGAAATTTTTAAATATATGCCAGCATATATTTCACTAGTCTAACTTCCTAAAATTAATATAAATTACCTCATGTAATAATTAATACAATCTAAATAGTTTTATCAATGATACTCAAAATGAAGAAGAAATAAAAATTTTATCAGTTCTTATTTTTTATTATTAATTTCTGAACAATTTAAACAAATTCTAAAGCTAATAATACTCAGCATTAATCAGTATACTAAACAAATTTATTTTTATAATTAATGTCATTAATCATAATTTCATTAAAAAATAATCAGAATGATAATTTACCTGATGTAAGGATGAATAAATAAATAAGGACTACAGATTTATTTTTTTAATAAATATTTGTTTTTATTATGAAAAATAAAGTATAATTTAGGAATTAAGTTTCAAACAATTTTTCATATAATAAAATGAATTTGTTAGCTATGGTGGGAGTGATATTTCTGGTATCAAACAAATTTTAAAGAAAATTATGTTTCAAAAAGCGTGTATAACTCTTTTTAAATTGCATTTTACAAATTATTCTGCAACATTCACTTCTATTGATAAAGCTTATTTACTATGCAAAACATCATATATAATTTAATTATATATATATTAATAAAGAAAATTAAAAACAAAATAAATATAAAAAAGTGTGCTTAATGGTCTGCTTATTAAAATGGGGAAAATAAATAAAATAATATCATATTCAACTAATCCATGGAACATAACATTAACCACGAATTTAAATAATTACACAATAGTCCTCTCAAAAAACCTGTATTAAATATATCTGTTCTATACTTATGTAAGAAACTACATTAATATTTTTTCATTTAGTATAAATTATTAATTCTTTAAAAACAATTTTTTTCTTATCCATTAAAAGGATATTTTGAGGTTTGAAACCACATAATACATCTGAATTCAAATGAAAAATTTATATAAAGTTATATAAATAACCATTTCTATATTATAAATATTGTTATTAAATTTATTACATTAACAACACAAATACTTTAAATGTATATATTAAGATATTTGTTTACTTGTAATTAAAAAAAAACAAAAACAAAAAATACTATTAAAACTTCAGATGAAGTAAAATAATAATGAGATTTAAAGATAGTCTATTGTTATATATAAATGAACTTTTAAAACTGACATGTTTCGCTCACTTGTTTTTGTAACAAATGGCATTCTTTATACCTATTTTTCTATATTCTTTCAGAACACAAAAATTACAATGCCAAATTTTATTACTGAATAAGAGAGGATGTCAGTGGTAAATAACTGAGCACCTGTGATCAAGATACAATACAAGGTAAAATAATAATTTTAGTATTTTTACCATTTTTTATTCAGAGTGTATTTCATTAGTGTGAAAACATATTAAATATAATTTTAATTGAAGTTTAGGTTACATCAAATTAATAGAAGTATTTGTTTACACTAAGTTAAGTTAGTTCTTTAATTAATATATGTAACTATATTTATAAAACAAATTATGAAGTCTATTAAAAAGTTATAGAAATTTAAAAATGTAATTAGCCTCACTTGAGTTATCAAAATATTTTTAAATTCAGTATTTTGAGGCTGTCATGGCAACAGGATATAGGTTAGTTGTTTTGCACAATTGCTATGGCAGTAATCAAATTTCAAATTAATGTCAGCCATTTAAAAATCTTAAGAGAAAATTAATGAACTGAATAAAACATAATTAAATTAGTTATTATAAAATGTCTTAATGAAAATTTGATATAATTATTTAGAAATTATTATTAAGGCCGACAAAATTACTTGATTTTAATACCCTTAATGAATCATGGTCTAGAGAATTTTAAACAAGCATTTTTTTAAAAGGATGAGGAAAAATAAAAAAAAGGCATGTTATATATATGTAGATGTATACAATTTTATTGGTTTTATATTAATTTATTTTATATAATGCAAAAAGTCATACAATTATTTTAAATAAAATACTATTTTATGATTTGTTCCTTTAATGTTTATATTAATCATTCATTCTTTCCTAGAAGAACCATTCTTTTAAGCTACAGAAAATACATAAATATTTTTTTATTTTCCTTAATTGATAAAAGAAAATATAGTGGTTTACCCTGAAGTAACTTCTCTGGATATAATCAGCTTCTATGTATATCCATTAAGTAAGCTTTTATACCCGATTAAAAACCAACTAATAATATTTTTTTTTTTAAAGATTAAAATTTCACACAAACATTCTATTCTAGTCTGATTGTCACTAGAACCTATACAAATCAGAAGTATGGATGACTATAAAAAAAACATATGTTTTATTAAAACTGTTGTAATAATTACTCTGCATGAAAGTGGACGACAAGAAAATGAAATATTTGTGCTATATAACTACAAATAAAAGTCTATTTTCATTTATGTTTTAAGTTATTTATTAAAATAATCAAAACATATATAATTTTTAACTCATAGAAAAATTAGTTTTATATATAGCTGAAAATTAAAAAAATCACAAATATAGTGAAAGCGTAATTATTCGTTGAAGTGAATATATGAATTTACATAATAATTTATGTATAGAAGATATATCTTAGTTCATATTAAATTAACAAATTTGGATTATCAAACTGTTCACATAACACAATGCGTTATTAATGTTATGATATTATTAATAAATTACATCAATAAATTAATAAATTCAAAACAAAAAATTTTCTAATTGCTATTTATAAGATTAGTAACAATTTAATAATCCTTCAATTAAAAAAGTAATGGAAACTATGAGATCTTTTCATACCTTGAAGTTACTCCTAAGCTAAGGTAATTATTTTCTATGAAGACAATGCTATCTGGATATATATTGTAATCATCTGATAAATTATTAAAAGAATTTGAAGATATTATATTATATTCACCAATATACAAAAACTTATATTAAAGATATTGAATATATAAAAAACACAATATATTTAACATAATTAATATATTCATTAAGTTAAAAAAGGATCATTAAAACTTTGAATAGATAATTTGATAATTCCACTATTAGTAAAGGTAAAAGAAGGAATTTAAAATATTAAGGAATATTGATAAGAAAATACATGTAGCAAATATTTGGACTAAAACCGACATCAAGTTTGAATGGATTGGAACAATTTAAAATTGATGAAATACATACTTCATTGGCCATATTTATTATCAAATTAATAGTTTCCTATCTTAACATATCTACATTGATATAACAGGTAATGTTACATTGAATTTTTGGTTATCAAGTAATAAAAATTAAGGACCACCTATTAATGTCAAAACTAGGGGTAAATCATCCATTTTATTCAGCAAAGTATATTTGTAATCGGTAAAAATGTCTTTAAGAGCTCATTTCACTTTTTAAAAATATATCTTAAACCAATGATTTTATTGAGGAATCTACTATTACTAAATAATCAATAAGTTTGTAGACCAAAAGATGAATTATGCTCACTCAAGTTGATCCTGATTTTATAAATTTAGTAAGGATTACTAAGTATTTCTTCACAAGATAAGCCAAGAATTTGTAATTACAACTTTTAGAGGGATATTTATAATACAGTGAGTTTTTATTCTGTCAAGGTAAATTGTTTTAAAAAGATGTTTCCGTAAGTTTGATGCATTTTCACAATTTTATATTGGTGGCTAGTAATCATTTAGTTGAGAAACGACTTAGTTATAGACTAAAGGGGTTTTGGGTTTCTCTTCTCAATTAATTTAGGAATCACAAATTAAGGCACAGTCCGCAACTCGGAGTTTATCTCATTGGTGGACTCATCAAGCATACATTTAGACTGAAAATGGATTTAGGTATCATTCATGACCTCACAACTATCCATGACTATTCAGTGGGTAAAAAGCCAATGTAGAAGAAAAAAAAATTGAGATCAGAAAATTAAAATGGTTCTTGCCAGATGACCAACATATCTAAGTTTAACTCTGGTATTTTCCATTGGCCCACATGTGAAAAAAATGAAGAATAAGACTAATCTAGTGTGAATATACTTTTATAAACATAATTTGACTTCTTAAATTTCATTTTAAATGATTTAATTAAGGATTTTAGTATAAATGAACACTTTTTAAAATATTTTTCTTATTTTCATAAAGTTGATTGATTTAAGAAATCCCATAAATGAATCAAATTTATATATAAAAACAACTTTTTAATAGGATGCATAATAATAAGATCTGAGTTGGTAACATTGTAATAATCAGTAATTTTGGGTGGCTTTAAACCATACATTTCAACCTGGATTGTATTTTGTTGTTGCCTAAAATGTGTTTTTTATGACTTACACAAATCAATGTATTCATTTATATACCTAGTCCTGTAATAAATATTGTTACAAGGAAATATATAGAGATTTAAACAGAAAAATTATTTTTTCCAAAAACTTTATTAGAAAATAAAATGTGTATCTATAGAGAATAAAACAAAAAAGAAATTACTCAAAATGCATTCCTTTTGCCCTCAAACAGGCATTTAATCTCCGAGGTCAGTCATCAATAGCAGCACGCAGCACTTCTCGAGGAAAGCGCTCAACTACTCGGACCAGAGATTGTTTGAGGCTTTCCAAGTTAGGGTGTGCTCTGTGGCATGCCATCCTCTCCAGTTCGCACCAAAGCTGATAATCTAGTGGGTTGAGATCAAGGGCTTCCTGAGGAATCGGAGCAAAATCCTGCTGGAAAACCCAATGAATTCCAGCAAACAGAGTATCATGTAGAGGCTTGACAACAGGTTCCAAAATATCGCCCTGATATGCTTTTTTAACTCTTTTTTTTCACAAAAAAGCAGTTTTGTGGTGCCATCAAAGCAAACTCCCCACCAAACCATAACTTTGGAAGGGTGATGATCTCTTTCCACTCTTCCAATGACTTCCTAGGCTTCTTTAGAGGTATGTTCGGTACACAAACATACGGCTGACACAGCTATTCGTTTTTCTTTATCACCCAACTCAATTTTAACTGAGTGAAAGAAAAATACAAATTAATTGGGATTATTATCCTGAAATGTAAAGAAAATAACGTGATAGAGGTGAGGATTATCTAAATAATACCCAAGGATGTAAACAAAGTTCAACTTTTGTAACAGTATTGATGGCAGAACTAGGTAGAAACTAATAATTTATATAATTACTTACCTGCATACCTTTAACATTCTAGAATTTTATAAATACTTATTTATATGAGGAAGGACGGCATGTATGATATGGCTCGAAACTCTCAGATCAAGATATAAATGTTGCTATAGACCACAAGAGAGAAACCCATGTCTTCTGTGACGTAGCTGCATTCTCAAAACATTTTTTTGTGCGATATTTATTAATCTATCATAAGAATTAATATTTAATTATCTAAGTGGCAAAAATTTGAAAATCAATAAAATGGGTGTGTATTTAGTGATAAATAAAAATAGCAACAGTAAAACATAAAAACTTTTTATGGTCTCCATTAGATCTCCTAACCTTACTGTGGCCTATACTGATAAAAAAAAAAAAAGTAAAAATAAATAAATAAAATTAAAGTTTAGACCTTTAACAGGGCTAAAAAAAAAAAAACCGATAAAAATAGATAAGAGAAACTATTAAAATTAAAAAGAAAATAATAATATGTAGATAAAAGGCATAATCTAAAAGCATGTAGGTAGAATAAACTTCAAGAAAATATAAAATAATGATAAAAAAGTTAGGAATAGAAAGTATTGGAAGCAAAATTAAGACATATAACATATGAGTAGCAAAGTTAAGAACTTTTGAATATAATAATAATAATATATTTTATAAGTTCCTAACCAAGTTACTGTTATGTTTCATATCTTAACTTTTCTTCCGCTACTTTCTATTCATAACTTTAGTATCGTTATTTTATATTTCCTTGATGTTTATTCTACGTTAAGTTTTTCTACCTACATGTTTTTAGTCTGTGCCTTTCACCTATATATTATTATTTTCTTTTTAATAGCAATAGTTTCTCATACCTATTGCTATCTGTTTTTTTCTAAATGCTGATGAAGGCCTGAACTTTGGCAAAAATAAATATAATTTGTTTTGACTGAATCTCCCAACCGACTTTCTCTTCATTTAATGATAAAAATGTTTCCCAAATATGGTATAGACAGTAATTTAAGGGAGAGGGGGGATTAGAACATGAAACATTGGTACAACAAAACTCTACTGGTTTTACGGATATAGATATTTAGCTGTCTCTACCACCTCTGCCTATCTTAAGCCATTTCTTTCCAGTTTGTCGAACACAGCTCTGCAACATGTTTTTTGATTTTATTTATCCATTTTCCAGTGGCTTTCTGGTGGATAATCATGAACTACATGAGATATACGATCGACCAATTTCTGTAAGCACTTCTATATTTCTCCTTCTCCTTCGAGCGTTACAACTCTAAATTCCAGATTGTTATGGTTATTTTGGGGAGTGCTTACCATTATAAAATATTGTATTAACTTTCTAAATGATGTTGTAATATAACTTAATTATGCATTGTAACGTCCAAAAGCTGCAACTACCACCAAAGTTCACCAAATGTTGCTAGACGACCGAATTAAAGTCAGAGATAATCTAGTAAAAATGTCTTCTATATACATAAAATATTTTTGTCTGATTTATTTTTGTTTTTGAAACCTACCTTTTTCCAAACAGGAAATATAATGAAAATATTCATTAAAATAAATAAATGTAATGATAAATAAAAATAAGGAGCTAACTCAATTGCTTATAGAACAATAGAGGTGAGTAAAGATTCATTTTTTAGCCTTGTAAAATGAATCCATCTTTCCAAATAAAAGCTTGGAAATTCCTTCATTATCCTTACTATTTTAAAAATGAACTATTTTCAATAGAATTGACAATAAAAACACAAAATTTTAGAAGCAAATTTTAATGTATTTTTACTTAATTTTATTTTTGTTGTAAATATAACATATTTTTATTAATAAACAAAAATTTCAACAGAATACAGTCTTGGTCACTAACCTTCAATACTTAGCATTATAATAGACAGAAAGGAATGCGGTCTACTTATTCGGCAGGAAGTTCATAAGCATCTTAATTGATCAATAACATAACTAAAAAGTGATACAAGGTAACTAAAAAACTTGAATTTGGTATCATTACAAGAATCTATACAATGCGTATGTATACATTATGCTTAAGCATATTTAAAACATTTTTAATTTAATAATTTACAATAGGGTACATACAAGTGGACACAATCTTTTTATGTACTGCAGTTACATAATTGACAACTGGTTATAGAACTAATTGTAATTTACAATTTAAAAATAACCTATCATTACTACTAACAGTGTATTCCTCAATTCTCAAAAATCGAGACTACGACGAGTAAACTGAATATAAACGATCACAAGTACAAATAACTATCTTTGATAAGGTAAGTTACCTTGGTAACAAAAGCTACCTTACCTCAAAGACTTTTGTAAGATAAAATTGGCTCAAGTAATAAATTATATGATTTTTTAAAAATGGTCTAACCATTTTGCAAATCTTAGCTATATTAATATCCACAATTTGTAAACTTGTTCAGTAAACATAACAACATCTTTTCAATAAGTCAACATTAAGTTATAGAATGTTTTTTAAAAAAGATTAAGAAAGTTATGTCAAATTATTACTGAAAATTGATGATTAATTTCTCATTAATTAGGCAGTAAAATGTGTTCAGTAAAATTTGAGTTTAATTTTGAGGATATTTTTGGTAAAGCGTATTAGATACCTAGAAATATATTTTATATTTAGTAGTTAAAAGACTCAAACATTGGTTTGCGCTAAATAATTGATTACGAAATTAGGCACTAGAGTATAAGGTAACTACTAAAATTAATTTTTCGAAGGACGTTCTTAGGTAGAGAAAAACCTAAATATAATATAACTTAATGGTCAATCAACCTTTATAGCTTATTACTGCCTAACGTGATATATATTTATCAGAATAAGAAACAAGTAATGTATCTTGATTTTGAACGGATATGTACATCAAATTAACTTCTACCACTATATCTATAATAGTTCATAGTTATCTGTGATTCTTTTGATGGTATTTCAATAAAGCAATTAGTGAACTGATTCATTGATGGATAGTGAAATTCCTATGACATTTAATTTAATTAATTAATAAATTAACAATACTTTAATTTAAAAATTCAATACAATGCTTCATTGTTTTTGATTTGACAAAAAAAAAAATAACATCAACAAATCAGACCACAGAATTTCAATATGCAGTAGAAGGAGTAAAAAGTTTCACCTTCCTATCACAGAAATTTTAAAAATATACATGCATGGATACATAAATAAACTTATATATCCAAGTATATGACTGTATCAGTACAACTACTCATTGGACAAACCTTAATTAACCTTCTTTTCTTTTACATCCTTATGGGGTGGTAATAGTGCCTTCACGATTGGTTTGTACAAAAACCAAGGCCCCCAAAGAATGACAACGAAAAAGTAAGTATTACAATATATCGGCCACCACCTATTGAATGAGCGAAGGGCTAATGGCGCGATGCAAGGTCCCATAACTACTATCGTATAAAACTTCAAAACGATCCACTTGATCTGCTTGATGACTGGCAGCGAGAGGAACTCCAAGAAAACTTTGTTTCTATTTAAAATGACTTCCATCTAAAAAAAATTAATTATTTGATTAATAACAACTAAATTCAAATCAAAATCTCCAAACACACAACAAAGCCTAAAAAGAGTATCAGAATTAAGATTAATTCTCTTTATTCTTTTTGAGAACTTTAGACATCCTGCATTATTTATTTTTTCATGAAATCAAATTAAGAACACTATTATGAAAATTAGTAGGGTCTTTTATACCTGAATTTTAGAAACAAGGCTGTGTCGTAGGATTTTTCTAATTGTGGCCTAAGAATAATTGTAATTGTTAAACAGAATTTACCATTCTCCAAATTTCCTCCAACTTTGAGCCAAATCAAACGAGCTCTTTAAATATAGGTCTATCAAGCAAAACATGTTAGCACATCCATAAACAACAGTCGAAAATGGAAAATTGTTCACTGATTATTAGTTAGTGTTGGCTCTCCAACTTAGGGCCAAATTAAGCCAATCTTTTTGAAATATAGGTGTATAAATGAAAATAAGTTTGCACATCCACACGTGAAAGTACTAGAATAATTTGATTAAATTTATATGAGACCATCTAGATACCATCCCGCATAATTCCTGAAAATTTAATCAAAATTGGTTCATTATATAAGTGATAAACCCATCACGTGGACTATTGACATACACGGAACCGATTTTGTTTCTTGATGATTAAAACATTTTTTGATCTACAAATTTTCATTTCTTAGAACATTTTTTTTTTAATGGTATGGAGATGGATGATCGTGATTATAATATAAGAAGGAGTTGGTCAGTGGTGTGGTCAATGTTTCGACCCACTTTATAGGTCTTCTTCAGGGCTAAAAAAGATGCAAAATAAAGATTAGTGCAAAACAAAAAAAATAAATGAATTAGTAGATATTAAAGAAATACAACTTTTCTAATTAAAGAAGTTATAAGATGATATCAGTGATCTTGTGGATTATAGTATATTTAAAATCTGAAGTATTATATACAATACTTTGTAATTTAACTATACTTTAACCTACTACATCATTGATGTCATCTTATAAATTCTTTATTAGAAAACTGGTATTTGTAGTATATCTACAAACAATTCATTTTTTTTTTTTGTTTTATTACTTTGTATCAATATATATTATGTATCTTTTATAGCCCCGATGAAAACCTACTAAGTGGGTCAAAATGTTGGAGTAATCAATAAATACTATCACGATATATACTATTTAATTTGCCTGCACCCCCGACCAACTCCTCAATATGACACGATTACCTGATTATTATCGTAATTGGAAATCAGATTAGAATTGTAATTGTGTAATCACATAATAAAAATCACTGCAATCATAATCACGTAATCAAAAGTACTTCTGTAAGCATTGATTATAATTATGCACATCTATGCTCAACAGGGCAACTTATAAGCATGAATATAAAAAAATTTAAAACAGTAGAAGATTTGAAAGAGAAATCATTAAGTTTCTCTTCATAAACATTCTTCTAAAACTTCTTCAATTTAAATTTATTATAATTAATTTAAAATAAAATATCATGAATTTAAAAACTTACATCTTTTTCTAAAACAACTCCTAGGAATTCCATCAAAAATGTGAGATAATAACCAGAATGGAAACCATGCCAAATAGCTAAGAAAACCAAAACGCCTATCTGGGAATAATATTTGTTTCCCAAAAACCTTAATCTCTTATAGACGTATCTGAAAAAAATTAAAAGAAACAAATAGAAATAAAAATTATATCTTGAATAAATTTAATGATCATACATAAATTTAAGCATAAAAATAAATAATTATTCAACAGTTGTTTTTTTTTTTGTCTAAAACCAAATATTTATATATATATGAGGGTGGTCTGAAAATTTTCCGACCGCAACGTGAAGATGGCAGCACTCATAAATAAAAGTAAGTGAATTTTGTTGTTCTTTTGTTGACAGTTACCCACCAAAGTGTCAGCTATTTTCGATGCGCATCTTTTATGTAAAAAGATGTGAGTGTTTTTGTGAAAATGGATAAAATCGAGTATCGAGCTGTCATTAAATATTTGTTTTTGAAAGGCAATACCGCCTATGCAAATCAAAGATGAGTTGGATTCTATGTATGGGAACTTTGCACCATCATTTATCACAGTGAAATTTTGGGCAGCTGAATTTAAACGTGGGCGTAAAAGCTTGGGAGACTATGAACGTTCAGGACGGCCAAAAGTTGCTACTACCGACGAAAACATCGCCAAAGTTCACCAGATGGTGCTAGACGACCGCCGAATTAAAGTGAGAGAGATATGAACAGGTCAAAAGAATGTGTTTGTTACATATCAAATCAACATTTAGATATGAGAAAGTTGCGCACGATGGTTGCTGCATTTGCTCACGTTAGACCAAAAATGTGTTCGAATAAACATTTCCAAAGCTCTGTTGGCACAATAAATCCGAGTTTTGGTGCCGATTAATTACTGTAAAAGAAACTTGGATACACCATTATACGCCCGAAACAAAAATACAGTCCAAATAATAGACTGCAATGGGGGAACCGGCTCCAAAAAACCAAAAACTGTTTTCTCAGCTGGGAAAGTGATGGCGACTGTTTTTTGGGATAGTCATAGAGTTATTTAAATCAACTATCTTCAAAAAGGAAAAATTATTGCAGGAGCATAATACTCATCATTAATTGACAAGCTGAAGGCAGAACTTGCGGAAAAACGGCCACATTTGCAGTAAAAGAAAATCCTGTTTTACCAAGACAACACACCATGTCACACCTCAGCGGTTGCCATGGCGAAAATCAACGAATTACAGTTTGAACTGCTTGATCATCCTCCTTACTCACCAGATCTAGCCCCAAGCGACTTCTTTTTGTTCTCTTATCTAAAAATTGCACTAGGAGGACAAAGATTTTCATCAAATTAAGAGGCAATCAATCACCTTTGTGAACAATTATTTTGCAGAAAAAAACGCCGAGTACTTTTTGGGCGGGTTATAGAGATGGGAGCATCGCTGGGAGAAGTGTACAAGAAGACTATGTTGAAAAAAAAAAAAAAATGTCTTGTATATATTTGTCCTCTTTCCCAACTATTAACATATTTCTAGGGATTTTCTTTTTCATAAATATAAATATACTTGAAAATCAACTCACTGCAGCATCCATTGATTAGTGTTTATATTAAAAGAACCAATGTAGTCATAAGTGAAAGTCTGAGCGCATTCAAATCGCACTACATTTGCATTAGAACAAGCATCCCATTTTGGATTTCCATTGTCATCAGTTCCATTATAAGTCAAACCTACAACATAAAAAGTTTTGTTTTTACAATATATCATTGGCACCATGTTAAAGTAACGAATGTGCAATGTTGGACAGGTTAACATTCGTTACTTTAACATGGTGCTGACGATATCTAAAACCTATTTTACAGTCTTTACACATGTCTAAATTAAGTGAAAAGATAATATAGTTTTCATAAGGTGTCTCAGAATATATATTTACATGTGCTTATGCGAAAGTAGTGAAAGAAATTGATATGGGATCGTCCAGGTTCTAACCCACAAATCTCTGAAAGTTTGATAAAAATCAAAATAATATAGTACGTAATAAGTCGGTCACATCAAATTTTACTAATATTGACAATTTAATAAGGAAGGAGATGGTCCGGGGTGGCGGTCAGATATAGACTAAATAGTGGCAAAACTATTTTATTAAAAGCCAATGTTTCGACCAGACTTTACAGGTCTTGTTCAGCAAGGAGTTTCACTTAGAACTGAAAGTGAAACTCCTTGCTGAACACACCTCCTTGAAGAAGACCTGTAAAGTCGGGTCGAAACATTGTCTTTTAATAAAATAGTTTTGCCACTATTTAGTCTATTTATGACCGTCAACCAGGACCATCTCCTTCCATAATAATGCAACGATCAACTATTAAGTATTCAATTTGACTATTTATTTATTAACCAAACATAAAAGTTGAACATCAAATTAAACTTGCGATCTGCAAATTGCTTTTGGCAGCTTCTCAGCGTCCCTTCACATATCCAGGATATAAATCAGATCAGCAAGTCTCTTTGCTACAGCCTACATAATCCCTGTGGTGGACTGTAAGGGGTTTCTTGTGCGTTCAAGGATTTCTGTTAGAGGATTCATGTTGTATACATTAGTCTTTGGTGAAAGTTATTGTTTTTAATGAAACAATATTTATTTGCAGATCTGCTTGATGGGCCTTACATCTATTTATCTAACAGCACAATGGTTCTTGTAGGACCTCGGCCTCCTCAGTGATCCTTCTTCACTCTTACCTGTCTTCGGCTGCCCTTCTCCATCTGCCGACACCCAACATCGGAAGGTCCCCCTCTACATCCTGCAGCCAACACAGTCTAGGTCTCTCTCTGCACCTTCTTCCACCAGGGTGTCCCTCCATCACTATTTTTGGTAGTCTGCTACTTTTCATTCTTTGTACATGCCCCAGCCATCTTATCCTGGCTCTCTTAGTCATGGCAACAATATCTGGTGTTTCATATAGATTTTTAAGTTCCTCATTTGACTTCATCTGCCAGCGATCTACTTCTTTTATAAGGCCAAAGATCTTTCTGAGAATTTTTCTTTCCCGCATGTTTAACAGCCTTTGATCGTTGTGTGTCAGCACCCAATACTTGCTTCCATACAGAGCCACTGGCTGAAGGACCGTACGACAACCTTTAATTTTTGAGAGCTCTGGATATATCTGGGTTTCGAAATATTTTCATTAGACACTAGTAGCATTGATTGCCAGCTGCTATCGTGACCATAATTTATTCTCTAATTTTATTTTCCTCAGTGATAACAGTGCCCAAATACTTAAACTGCGGTACTCTCTCGGGACGATATCGATATGCCTGTTCCCTCCTTCTTCCTTGTTGGCCCTTATATATTTATTTTTTCCCATATTAATTACCAGTCCTGTTCTACCAGCGACTTCTTCGCACTCCTCAAATGCTCCACATAATGCACTGATGACTGTTCTTCTATTAATCATAATATAATCTGTAAACTCAAGATGTTGTGTCGCCTTACATGGATATTTTAATAAGAAATACAATTTTTTTATAGATGGTAAATTGGGGGTATAAAGATTGCTAAAGTACTATGATACCAATAAATGCGTATTTTAAGTGAAAGAATATTTTATTTTCAATTAATTACTTATCAGATATTTAAAGTAAGAATTATTAAAGACAATCTACAGCAATACCGGTTACCTACACACAACACGGTTATATAGTGATACATGTGATATCAAAAGGCCAAATGGTTCCCATGGGCACAGGATTGGGAACGCTAGCAATATACGCACTTATTTAAAATTTATCGAACTGGATTCAGTTGCGATCAACTTAATAAAATTTGCAGTAAAATGCAAATGATAAATATTTTGTTTATTTTTTCTCATGAAAACAACTTTTCATTTGGCTAACGAGGCCACACACAATAAATAATTTATACATTGATCTAAGTTTTGTGGGCCAAGGTACTCAATTAAAAGATTTTTTGAGACTAACTGCTCACAAAATAAATTTTTAGATTACTAAATTTTAATAATTTATTTTTCTGTTAATTCCATTCGAATGTCTGTAGGTCAATGAGGGTGCAGAATAGCCTCACTCACTTCATTGTATACTGTTTGAATTAACAATAATTTAAGTATAATTACCAATGAGAGTGCAAGATCCTTCACTTAGCAACCAAATAGCAATGTATTTGATCAAAGTAATGTGTCCCCAAATGCCGAGTATGCATATTCTTCGGAAAAATGATATTTCCTGAAAAACAAAATACAAGTAAATTATTCAAGCATACACTTTTATTATCATAAAAAAACATAAGAGAGAGGTATTTACGTAACCAGTAATAAGTATTATAAATCTTTTAAATGTGTTGAAGGCAAGAAACTTATTTAAGAAATGGGCGTTAAATATGGCCACTAATACAATACATTTTAATGCAGCCTGGGCTCCTATAAAGAGGCGCTAATTTTGTAAAGGCACAAGAAGGTTATAATGAGGTTTTGATGTTGTGTTCAGCTCTTTTTACACTATCAGTTTGTACAATACAACAAACAATTGTTGGATGCTGTCTAGTCAAAAAGACAGGATGGTCTTAAATTCATTTAATATAAAATTAAACTGGTATCCATTAACCCTCACCATCTGTCTGAACATGTCATCATCCATTTGGATGGAACACCTCCTAGTACAATTAAGAAGACTTATTCACTGTTACGGGAAGAAATTTTATAATATATCTCATTGACTTAACAGCTAGAATTTCATTTATGTTTTCTTCAAGTTCTTTAACTTCTGAATCTTCACTCATGTTTTCAATTAAAGCATTTTTAATAAAATAATGCAACAACTCTGGCTTTTTATTTCTCTTTGGAATTTTAAAAATAAATGAAAACATTATCAGATCAATCAAGCAGGAGACATTATAAACTTTGACTACAATACAATCATAATCTTATGATAACTAATAACATTGGTGGTGTCGGCATCGAACCTTCGGGTTCGCTAAGCCTTATTATTATTATTATGATAACTAATAACACTTTAGCAGGTTAGCACACAAACACAACAGGAGTATTCATGCAACCATTGCTAAGCATTGTAAACCTCTTAAATGTGTAAAGTCGAGAAATTATTTACGAGATTTTAATGCAACTTAGGATCTTGTAAAGTGGTGCTAACTTCGTAAATACACGGAGAAGGTTATTGTAAGGTTTTGATGTGTTTGATTCTTTGTTTTTTATGTGTAAAATATCCAAAGAAATGGAATATAAAGACAACTAAGATTTCATCTATATATTCATCAAGTTCTTTGCCTTCTGAATCATCTAAATCCTCATTTATGCACTCTAATAAACTATTTATAACCAAATAATTCATCAACTCAGTCTTTTTAACTTTTCTTTGGCATTTTAAAAATAAATCTGAACGTTAATAGATCAATTAAGAACTCACAAACTCTGTTTACAGTACAAACTATAACCATACTATAACTAATAACACCTTAGCAGGTTAGCACAGAAAGGTTATTTACCATTTATTCAAAATTTGTGCTGACTGCTTAGCATGATAGCACATTAAGCATTTACCACAAGCTGCATTGTCTGAATACTTCTATTAAGTTGTGCACTTTTCATGATGGAAATTTTAGGCTTGAAACAATCACACCGATTTTTACAATAACGATTACTTGATGATTATAAGGATCTATAATATAAGTTTTTCTTTGATGGAGAGTCGGGTATATGATCAGTTGTCACCTGGGGCTGTGAAACTTGGATACTTGAAGAGAACTGGGTACTTACCAAAGAAACCATAAGATTATTGAATCTATGAGAATGAAAAGTACTTTGACACATATACCAGATATATGTTGTGACATTTAATAAAACGTTTCAAATAAGGTGGGCGGGATATGTAGAAAGGATGCCTGAGTGTAAAGTCCCTAAAATGCTTTTAGAGGGATAGATGGGCAACGACAAAGAGGACGATCACGGAACAGATGCATAGACAATATCCAGAATATACCCTAAAACTTTAAGAGTGAAAAAGACAGAGGAAATCAGCACTAGAGAGTAAGGTAGTGGCAAAACATTGTTTAACTATATCCGTAAAATAAATTACAGGCCAACTCTATTTACTATGCACTGTTTTGTTTTATAGTTCAGTTCAGAACTTAATGTTTTGCTTTCATTCATTAATTTATCTCGGATGATGATGATGATGATCAATGTTTATAAGCAAAAGAAACGTGACAAACTTAAAAAAAACAAAAAACTAAAATATACATACATTATACATGCCACATATTTCTCTATTGTTTACAAATAGATAATAACATCATTGCCTACTTAGTATATGTCATAAAATAGCTTGAATTACTTAGCAAAATCGGATATTGCCCATATTCTCAATTCTGAAGGTGAGAAACAGTTAACAGAGGATTTATTGTACTTAAGTTATTCACTGAATTAATTTGTTATTAACTAATATTAACTTGTAAGTACTTACCACAAACTCAGGTCCAAGTATATATGAATCTGGGTAATAGTTGGTGCCAACGCAATAAATGGCGATATACAGAAGTCCAACTGCCAGCGTTTTCAAACCTGGCCAAATACATTCTGGAAGTTTGCTCTGAGGCTGTAATGAAGAAAATTTTCGATAAAATAAGCTTTCAAGCACAAGAAAAAATTATATAAAACTCAGCATCAAATATAACAATTAAATACAACATAAATAATAAAATTAAAAAATGTGTAGTAGCAAAAAGTATATAATTTCATTTTATTTAACAGTGATCTTATAATAGGTCATCTAACAAAACTAGTAAAACTGAAATTTGACTAGCGTACTTGAGGAAATTTGAAGAAAAAAAAATTAAAGTAATTATTAATGATGTAGAGATGGTTGACCGTTGATATAATATGAGGAGTTAGTCGGGGGTGCGGTCAGATAAATACGTAGGATATAGCACTGCGGGAAGCAGTGCTACATCCTACGTATTTACCTGACCGCACACCCGACTAACTCCTTCTCATAAAGTAATTATTGTTGATTTATTGAAAGTAATTGTTAGATAGTAGTGTTTATATAAAGAGGTAAAGTCATTTTCTCTCAACTTTTAGTGAACTAAGAAAAGAAGATTTTAAAGTAAATAAAAATTATTTAAATTCAGTTTTCTCACAATTTAAAAAATGTTTATTATCCTCTTAACCCTTCAATTATTTTTTATCATACACAAAAATAATATTTAATAAATAATAATTTTATTATTATTATGTGAATTAATATACAATAAAATACAAATGAATGTTAACTTACATTATGTTTCAGCTTGCCAGCAACGAAATCTTGGTATCTTTTCATGGGAAATTGAGGGCCTACGAGGAAACTTGTCGGGAAATAAGAATAAGCAGCCATTTCCAGTAATGAAGGCACTTCAAGTAAGGCTACTTTTTTACTGTCTTTGGAAAGTTCTTTCTGAAAAAATAAAGACAGATTGCATATTAAAGTATACAAGGTAAGGAATGTTTATCTACTAACCAGTATCGATAAAACTTGAAAAGCATAATTATTTGAAATTACTATTAAAAAATTAAAACATCAAAGATTTAAATTCTAAAAAAAAGTAGAAAGCAGTCATTTAAAGTCAAAGAGATTTAATGAAGATATAAACAGTAGTGATATATTAACGTAAGAACAAATAATTAAATTAATATTGAAATTTTACTTATCTTTAGGCTATTTTGTTTTTTATTGTACACAGTTTTTGATTATTATTTAGTTATCATTTTACTTTTATATTTTCTGTGCATATGGTGTGGATGTGTTCATATATCACTATAATTATTTTCCACGTGACAGATTAATATATTTCTAAATAAATAAAAAAAAAATATATTGAATTAATCTGATATAAAACATTGACATAATATTTCTACAAAAAAAAACAAAAAAAACTGTACCACTACAATCCATGAAGGGTCTTGGGTTCAGTACTCTTTAGGAAAAGTACTGTTTATTAATCAAATGTAGTGCAAGGGGGTGATTTGACTGAGATCACGCTCAACCAACAGGTTTTCTCTCTTAATTAATTATTTCAATTAAAGATAAACACTTTATAGAGACTGGGTATGCCCCAGGAGGGTCTCCTGATTCCAGGGCGTCCCCACGGCTGATAAAACAGAATAAATAATTTGTCTGCCATGAGCCTGGATTCGAACCCGAGACCATGAGTGTTAGAAGATCAGTACCCTACCACTGAGCTATCCCAGTCCATATTTCTACTACAAAATTCGTAAAATTTTATTTCTACTAGATTCATTAGACTGGACTCGAAAAAAATAATATTCCTAAGTGGTTAAACAATTATTTTTTTTAAAACAAAATTTTTTGAACTATACTTAAAAACTAAGTCCCCTGGAAAGTTACAGGCACTTTATTTGAAACATAATTAAATTCTCGACAAAGTAATTTTTTTAACAAAAATTATTTTTTATGGTGATCTATACATTTCTATACAACTTTATGGACATTATTACATTTAAAGAATTGTTTCCGATTTTTTTCAAAAAATTGAAATAACTGATTCTTATTAACATAAATTGAAGGTCCCTTTTGATCACACTTCCATTTTATATTTTTTTATACATGACTTCTTATTCAGCTTAAAGAAATTTTATTAGACATACAAAATATTTATTTTTAATAAAAATTCGAAGTTCCTAAAAATGTTTGTTATAAGGAAGCTTGGTTTACTAAGGATTGGCAGTATATTTAGGAGACTATACTGAATAAACCCAAATTATTTATTAACAAAAACTTACTTCTGGAAAAGAGCCATCATAAATATCGAACGCAAGTCCTGAAAGCCTCAAGACCAGTATGCAATGAGGCATGGTCCATACAATATCATATGATTCCGTTTCATTTTTAGCATAACCTAAAACATAAGAATAGCAATAATAGATTAGAATAGAATAGAAGAATCAACTTTATTCTGGGACAAAGCCCCTTGAGAATAACAATATTGTACATAAAATTAACATTACATCTGGCCAAAATGCATATTACAATAAAAAAAGGAAAAAAAAAACAACTAAAAAATAAGGGATAAAAGAAGTATTTACATAACTGTACAGATATAGTAAAGACATAATATGAGCAATAAGGTCCTAATACTGCAAAATAGTTGCTATAAACAATAAGCTATGGAATTATAAATGAGCGACAAATAACTTTTGTTGTCATGCCATTGTATTAATGAAAAAAATAATAATAAAAGAGTGGATAAATATTTACTTTAAATGATTTACATATGTATCTTAGTATGTTCGAAGAATACAATAATAGTATTGTAAACATTATACAAGTTCTATATAATCTAAATCCTATGATGTTGATTGATTGGAGAAAAGAAAAGATAATATACATATAGGGGAGATTATATACATATATAATATACATTATAAATGGCTACCCAGCGTCTGATTGAATTGTAAGGATGAATTGGAATAAGAGGGTTTTAAATGTGAATAAGGATGGTGCATGGCGGATTTTAAGTGGGATGGAATTCCAAAATGTGGTGGAGCGGACAATAAAGGAGTGTTGAAATGAGGCCGATTTGTGGAAAGGGGTATAAAGGTCGGAAGGACGAGATCTTGTGGAGAGGGAGTGGATAGATGACTTGAATTGAAGGAGATTGAATGAGTAGGACGGACGATGATTATAGATCATTTGGTAAAGGAATGTACCTAGGAAGTACTGTCTTCTGAAGGAGGGAAAGAGCCACCCTGACTCGGCGTAGTAGTGGGAAACATGAGAACGTCTCGGGGTTCCGTTGACAAATCGTACTAAGCCATTCATTATTCTTTTCAGTCTGTCTCCAAGTTCCGATGAGAGGCAACCGTACACTAAACAGCCATAGTCAATGTGGGGGAAGATGAGGGCGGATACTAGGAGTCTATGGTAATAATATGGTGTTAGTTACAAATAACAACTACTAAATTAGTAATTAATTGTTGAATAATCCGCCTAATAATTTTAAATAATAAGTAGAACCCAGAAAATTAAAAAAAGCAATTAATGGTAATAAGTAAAAGTCGAACAAATACAGTTCTGAACATTCATTTTCCTTGTTCCACAGTTCAACTCATCCTGTCTTGTTTATTTTTAAAAATTTATCAAGTGATGAGAATGATGCAAAGTAAACAAACTGAAGACGTGCTCATATATAACCCATGCTCATATTATATATAAGTGGAAATTGAACTTATCAACATAGTATATTTAGTTTTTGACGATAAACTTTCCGACAAGAATAGTTTTAACTAATTAAGAACAATTAAAAATAGTGATTGTTACTATCCAATAAATTAATAAGTATTTGGGAGCAGAGGAAACTATATTAACAAATGTAACAACAAACTCTTTACTTTTAACGACAGACTCTAGAAACAACAAGTCTAGTACTTATTAAGTAGGTATATTTACTTAAAATATAATAAATACTTGAAAATAGACTAGTATCAGTAAGTACCGTAGAAGTGGTAAGGAAAGTCACTTTCCTCAAATGACATAAAATGTTTCAGGTTGCTGTAAGTGGCGTACAAGTGGTAATATAAGAACTAAAGGCCTGATAGGGAAAGTGGAGAACGTTCGATTGGAGGGGCCAAATTCAGTGAAAGAAGGATAAACATTAGTTATCTGATATTTGTTTTTTATCCTTGGTTATTCTACATTAGACAACTTATGTAAAAAATTTATTGCTAGGTTGCTTCTGCTGAAATATTAAATATGACAATGATTTCAAAGTAGTTTACATTTTATCTGTGATTAAGAAGCAAATATCAGTTATTAATATCTTTCTCTAATACTTCTTCTAGGGGTCGGTTGGTGTTCAATGCTCACAGCCATTTATCAGAACTGACTTCATAGAATCCTACACCTTTAATTTGAGATTTTCGAGATTTCAGTGCCCTTGAAAGAGAGAAAAAAAGCACTGTTTGCACTTACTATATGTTGGTATTTTTCCGTTGGTTATTCATCGAGGATATTGTGGAGTCAAGGTATTTGAATCTATCTGTTCTTTGGATCAATTTTTCTTCTACACAGATTCTATTGTTGGAGTGGATTTTTTGTTGCATACTATTATATATATATATATATATATATATATATATATATATTTCTATCAACTATTTAAATTTATTATAAATTTATTTTTAATAAACTATTTTATTGCCTCTTTCTATCATTTATCTCTTAGTTCTTACTATTGTCATTATTCTAACAACTGCATTTTACTTTAATTTTTTTTCTACCTACACTACTTATGTTTCTCATACCTTGTTATCTGATTCTTTTCTTAGCCCTGATTATGGCTTGAACTTCAGGTCGAAACGTTGGCAAATGTCAAAATAAATATTATCATTTATTTTTGCCTTCTTATTTGACTGATCACCCCAACTATTCTCTTCATTATTCACGACAGTCAACCATTTACCCACTGTTATTATATATATTGTTTTATCTCCATTTACTTGTAGACTGATTTGCTCTGTTTATCTTAGCCGAGTATTAGCAAATCTCTAAATGTCCTCTTGATTACTTTCAGGAGGAAAAACAAAAACAAAAACCAAGCACTCAAATATCAACACAATATAAACAAGAGACATTTTTTCAAAGTAAACTGAGGTATAAAATCCAGACTTCGTTCCAGAGCCCAGATTCCTATAAGAGAGTAAAAAAATCCGATTTTCACAGTAACCAACTTTGTCAGAACTAGTTTTTATTCATTTCACCCAAGAAAACATGTAAAGACACTATAAAATACCACAAAGTATTTACTATAAAATCTGACACATAATATTAATATAAATAACTGACTGGAGATGAACATTTGTTTCCACAATACGAAATTCGAATCTGAACCTACAATTAATAACATGCCACAGGGTCTTGAGTGATCATGCACTACAATACACTTCTCATGATGTCAATAGCATCAAACTACTAACCGACAAGGAGGTAGATCATAGAAAAGGTAAGAGTAATAATAACAGAATGTAGGGTGCCACCGATCGTCTTCAATACAGTGTACACAAAGAGAAGTGTAACAGTTGTATGCAGGACATCTAAACCTAAAAACAAACAAAATAATAAAAAATTAATTAAATCCATGTAAATGAAAAAAAATTTAATTTTTAATAGATTACACTGATCATTACCAAAATTATAAAAGCCTAAAAATAGTCCAGTGATAATGAAATACAGATGCTGAATTCCTGGAGGTTTGCCATACAGGAATTTCCTGTGAAAAACCGCAATAAGGTAGCCTAAAACAAAACCAAAGATTATAAATCATTAATAATAGTAAATATACGGTAAAAAAAAACATATTAAATTTAATCTGAATATTTAATAGTTGACTGTTGCATTATTAAGGAGATGGTCTGGGGTGGTGGTCATAAATAGACTAAATAGTGGCAAAACTATTTTATTAAAAGCCAACGTTTCGACCTCACTTTGTTGGTCTTCTTCAATATACACCTCCCTGAAGAAGACCTGCTAAGTCGGGTCGAAGACATTGGCTTTTAATAAAATAGTTTTGCCACTATTTAGTTTATTCATGACCGCCACCCCAGACCATCTCCTTCCATATACAATTTAACTTGGTAATGGAATAAATCAAACAAAGCATGTTATTTTCTAATTAGTGTATTTGCACTGAGTTCATAAATAATGTTGACTAAATACCATACATGTCTCAAAATATTCAGAAAGCATTGTGGCAAATTTAAACTACAACATTTTAATTAAAAAATCTGAATTAGGGAATTTATTTATTATTTTTTTTTTTTAAGTCTGTGCACAGAAGTTTGCAATGAGTGTTACTCTATAGGTCGTAACATTTAAATAGGATTCATATCCAAAACTTTGAAAAAAATCAGGATAAGATAAATTAACTATTATAATGGCCAACTTCTATAATTCTAAGCTATTAAAATTAACTAAACACGAGATGATACTAACCCCATTAAGAATTAATTTATACATATCCTAATCTGATTTTTTAAATATTTTTTTATGCTGTTCTGTCAAATTAAATGATTTTGGACATTGGTCCTTGTGTTCTAAGGTACACATACAAGCACACATATAGGGACAAGATAGAATATATCTCTTAATTGAAGGTTTAAAAATTGTTTTGGGGCTTTAGAACGATGTATGACATATATGCAAACATAAAGAGGTGTGTTATCAGCTAAATAGAGGACCACTTATAGATTTTTCTATTGAATTTGCTATCCATATATAAGAGAAACATAAAAAGGTACATTTTGAATTCTAAAATTTTGTAGAATAAAAGTTAATAAAAACTCTGTAAAAAGCTTTCCATTGATAACATAATTTACTGAAATGTCAGTATTCCGTTTATAAACAATATACTTTTAAGTAAATATTTATTTTGACCATATAATAAACTTGAAAAAAAAAAAAATTAAATTGAAAATATCCTTTTTGGTTAGTAGATGCATCGTATTAAAATTAAGCTAATCCTCTTCCAGATATAAACTGTATACATTTGAGGCTTGCAATCAGTTACGAGTTACACATAAACACAAATACAGTATTTAGTACTTTTAAATATATTTTTTACTAAATGCTGAATCATAATTCTAATATCAACAAAGAATTAAATTAAAATGTCATCAATAAAAGAAAGTCATTCTTTCATTAAGTTACAACGCCTGGACTACTTTAAGGAATATTTTTTATTTAAAACATAAACGGTGGCTTCAAAATAGTTTTTTTTTGTAACTTGGAACAACTTCAATGGCATTTATTCTTATTTTACATTCCACTAATTAATGAAGTTATTAATGATCACAAATTTTATACTGATCACTTTCTATTGGTTCATTAGACAGTAGAATTCGTCATCGATTGTAATTATTAATGTTAATGTATGAAATAGATACTGAGATGATGAATATTTAATTAATATAATTCACCAATGTATACTATTGCGGTATTCATTCATAATTAATAGAATAATTACACTTAACAACTATACAAATGAATGTTTAATTCAAGTTGGTAATGCCAGGTGACAGGAAGTGGCATATGTGAATTAGGGACTACTTTTGCCAATTGAATATTTTTAAAATAGAAATTTTTATTTTTACAAAGTTATATATCTACATCTTACTTAATATAATTCTAATCTTTGGTTTAAATACTGTATATTTGACAAATCATGTATGTTATTCATAAAAAACAATCGAAAAACCAACTAAAATGTTTTTAAATTTTGTTAGCTAAGTATATTCAAATAGTCATATAAGATAATTTAGAATAATAGACTGTAAATTTGATATTGATATGTTTTCAAATATAACAAATCTCACAATTTTCAATTAAACAAAACTAAAATTCCAAATTTAAAGTATCAACACTTGGAAGTTAATCTACTCAGTCAATAATGTTATCAAATAGAAAAATAGTACCGCACTAAAATACTTCAAACCAAATAAATAATAAAATTCATTATGACTATGATATTTAGAGGTATTGTATAACCACAGGAAGTGTTTTTAGAAAAAGTGAATTCAAGTGAAAGTGGGATCCAATCTGGTGAGATTATTCCATTCATAAAGAATGAAGATGCATTTCAAAATATACAGGACTGTCTAGAAAGGTTTTCATGATAGTTAATTTAAAAATTGTACACAAGAATAATAAAAATTCTTTCTTAAAATCATGAAGCAAATTAAATCATATATTTATAGCAATTCGACTTAAAACAAATAAAACATACACAAATTCATTAACAGTATTAGAAAATTTCTTGTAGTTTATTGAAGTAAAAATTTAATTTATAACTTCAGAGTTTATTTCAGATTTCAATTGAACTCTTAAATTTTATTAACAAGGACATTAATCTATTTATAAAATACCTCAAAGGACATAATTTCTATTTCAATTAATCAAGGGATAAAATAGTTACTATACCTGATAATATGGATAATACTAAACGTAATCCTTCTATATCAGCTCCAGTGACCGATGAAAGTTTTTTCAGAATAAATTCGTCACCCAACATTTTGTCTAATTCTTTATCAAACTCTTAAATAATAGTATTGAACTTAAAATAAATACATAACGAGACGCGGTCTCCACTCCAACGGAGAAGAAACTAACGTTTCAAAAGTCGACACTCAACTGACTTCCACTCGGACGCAATCACTGAAGCACTAAATTAATAAATAATTAAACTGCAGGATAGCAGCGAGGTCGAAGGCAAAGAGGTCTTCAGGAAGAATGACGTTCGGTGACGTTTAGTTCCTCTTATCGCCGACAGTATTAAGGCATGTTTGTATTTTGCATTTAATAAAGTAAAATATATAATAGATTGTTTGTAACTCTATTGTATTATTAAAATACACTTTTTTTTCTTTATTCATTGATATTTACAACTGTATTATAAAAAAAAAAATACAACTAGTAAATGTGCACTCAGTAATAATACAATCACATGAAAACGCTTGTTGAGAAACTACCCATTGATAGCACTCTAATAATATATTTACATAAGTAGATCACGAGGCCATCTTCTTTTCATACGCCTCGGAGGGTTATTAAAACACAAAAGAAATATTTGTATTTTGTTTCCAAGACACGAAATTACAAAAAAAAAAATGTAATTTATTTTGTATTTTAAATACACTAAATAGAGTGCTAGATTGAATAGTTTTATCTTGAAGTATCGTAAGGAAGATAGTTTGTAGAAGAATTCTTCCATCTGAAAATATAGCTAATAAATGTTTTAAGATCGATTGTGTTAAATATTTTCTACAATTATCTTTGTCTACAAAATTGATTAGCCTTCTGCAAAACTCCAGGTCTCATGTCTCATCATAGAAAAAAAAATTAAGAGCACATTTTGTTAAATAAACAATAAAGATGGAGCAACAGATATTTAATTGGGAGAAACCAGTTTTTTCTCCTTAAGTTTTCCCATTTTAATTTTGAAGTACTTTTTAAATTGAAATATCTTGACTACAGTTCTTTATGGATGCGAAACTTAGCCGCTTACATTAAGGGATGAGCAGCGTCTTAAGGTTTTTGAAAATAAAGTATTGCGTAGAATATTCGGACCGAAGAAGGATGAGTTAACCGGAGAGTTCAGACGGTTACACAACGCCGAATTGCGTGAACTGTATCCGAGTAATATAATTGAGATAATTTCATCGCGACGAATCAAATGGGCTTGTAAAGTTGTTGGGCTTAGTAACGAGAGAATTCCTAAAAGGTAAATATTCGCTGTGCCGAATGGTAAGCGTCCGAGGGGTAGACCGAAGCGAAGGTGGGAAGATTGCATTAAAGCCGATCTGAAGGGACTGGGTTTGGACGGCGAACGGTGGAGGGAGGTGTGTAATAAGCGATTGGTAGTGTCGGCATCGAACCTTCGGGTTCGATACGCCTTTTATTATTATTATTTTAAATTGAATCCTTATTCAATTTATGCGATATTTTAGAGAATATAGAAAATTAAATAATTTGACAAAACCTCACTTTTATTATTAATTGTTCAAAATAATATTATTTAATAAAATAATTTGTTCGTAATTATTTTTATAAAAATTATATCCATTGTATTCTTATTTCATAACTCTTTTCCTCGCAACAATAAACCTATTCCTTAAAGAATTAGTTATAGACAGAAGTGGATCCAGGATTTAATTTAAGAGGCTTCAGCCCGAAAGCTTTTTTAATAAGAAAGATACCAACTACATTTATAAAATACTGTTTAAGTGATTCTTAAACTGCTTTTGAAATGAAATTACACGAACAATACTTTTAGAGATAATTTTTAAAATATTGTTTTCATAAGATATGGTTATATTTAGTAGCTGTATATACGTTATTCTTATTGTTTAATTATTTAGCTTAGATCACTCACAGTAACAAATACAGACCAAATAAAACAAAAAATATATAGTAAGGGAAAGTGTTTGAATCTGAGTTTTCAACGGAAATAAATGTTTTGAGGCCCTCTAAGTCGAAATAACAAAGTCCCACAAAAAGGCCTGTGTGTGCTAACAGTCTATCTCAAAAAAGAAAAGGCGTAGGAAAGTGAAATTGCATATTTAAGGTTTTTATATACTTGGGATGTTACAGCAACTTTTTCGTCAAAATCGGCTAACCGGAAGTGGCACTTTATATCATGGACTAAACACATTTTTACGATTTTCTCGAAAACGGCTTAACGATTTTGATTAAATTCATTATATCAGTGTAAAATTAAGCAGTTTTAAATAAAATGTAGGTTTTATTCTGATTGATGTTCTCTAACAGAGCTTAAATGTCTAATTTTCAATATTAGCTTCCTCTAAAGTAATTTTATTTTTTTATATTTGAAACAATTGACCATTTCACATTAATTTATAATATAAAAGATAGTTAAATATAAAATATGAAAGAATTTGATAATTAACTAAAGGAGAAATAAGAGATCGTAACGGAGAATAGTTGTAATTGAGGAACCAAAGGAATACGAGTGCACCCGAACTCGCCCGAAAGATTAGAACACGCTTCCATACGTAACATGAGCTTAATATAATAAGGACTCTGACAATATTATGTAAATATACATATGCGGTTTTCATAAATGCTATTGTTGGTATTAATATTTAATTGTATAGATTACAGTGATATAAATATTAAAATTTGTATATATATTTATATATATGGGTACTTACACAAATCAAAATACCCACAATGAAATATAAATCAATATAGCGTTCATATTGTTTTACTTTCACTTCTCCTTTGTCTGAAAATACTTATTTCTGCTAAGAGGGTGGTAAGTGAAAGTTGTGTGATGCACCGCACGAGATTTTCTTAAATTAAAATATAAAATAATTTTGATATTAGTAATATTTTTTCTGAAAACAAATTAAATATTTTGTAATTAAAATACACTGATTTTTTAAAACATAAAATATTTGTTAATCCTATATATTATTTCTAAAAGGTGTTTTTTTGGTCGGTACGCCATAACTTCGTCAATTCTTCATCAAATCCAATTATTGACCACTCATTTTGAAGATATTCTTCTCCTTCACATGCGAAAAATAGTCCTATTCCCCCGAAATTTCTGGAAAAAAGTTATGAAGGAAAAGAAACTTTATTTGCGAATAACTCAAAAAGTATGTAATTTTTTCTTGAGTATACTCATGATAATTAGAAAGATTATTAAATTATCTACAAAGCAAAAAATAATCGTAAAAATCTTCAATTATTAACAAAGATACAGTCCATTAGATTTGGCATACTTAATAATGTCTTCCTGTTTAAAGATATTGCATTTAGGAGTAAAGTAGTCTACTAAACTTTTTCCTGGCTGATATATTAACTTTATTATTTCTTAAAAACATTTGGTTGTTCTTACATTTTATTTTTTTTTTAATAATTTAGAAAATCCCATGACCGGGGCATTATTTTATCTTTATTACTTTTATTATCTTTCCAGTCAGCGTTTAAAAATAGGTTTTAGCAAAACAATTTGTACAAATATTTTTGTCTATTATGTTTAATGGAATATTGTAATTGACCAAGGAAAAACTATTAATTCCTTCCTTACATAATACATAGGAACTACTTATTTCCATATTGTTTTGCTATTTCTTCACTAAACAAAATTTTCTGCTAATTATTCGCACGGGCCAACTAGTATTAAAAAATATATATGGTCTAAAAGTTGATAATAGAAACACTGATTCTTTCTTTTGGCTTCAAATCAAGTTGCTCAAGAATTCTTGAAGAAAGCTATTAGAAAGTTGTCATTTTCATCGAAAGATTTGCTCAGCTGTTAGAAGATGAAACGAGATATAAATCCTTGGAGTTCGAAAGTGCTCAATCACGATGGCAGAGACAATTACTATAATTACCTCGTGGTATTGATTAATAGTTATCGACATTATGTAGTGGCGACGGCCTATCTTTATCTCGATGACTTGAACATCTTTATCAGTCCGAATGGTATCTTGTTTACACGGCATTTCTAGATCACTCAAAGGAATATTAGAGTAAAATAATACGATTGCATTCAAATAAAAGAAAAATATCAGTAGACACGTGCCATCATATTAGCTTCTTTATTGAAATTGTAGTTGTTCATTAAACAATATTTTAACTTTACAAATGAAAATATCTGGTGTGTCCACTCGCACTACTTTCCTACCTATTTCAGAAATTTTTTTATATCTTTACATATTTTCTAAACTAAAGCAATGTAAACCAGCTTAAGATAGATCAGTGTAAAAATTTCAATACTCAATAATATTGCTGATCAAAAACTTTTTGCCATAGCTTAGCATTGTCAAACAATAATTTCTGTTAAAAATAGAGGAAATAGTGAAGATTGTGTGATGCGGGCAACAGATTTTTTTACTTTCACTTAGTCATCTAAAAATGACTTCTTTAGTCATATAAGAATAATTTGACCCGATTGCAATACTTTCCTTACTTAGTGTAGGTAGGAGAGTAATAAGTTAAACAATGTGTAAAAAATAGAATAAGCTGTATCGTCGCTAATACTGGTTCGATTCCGATGATTTTTTTGTTGTTTTTTTTGGTAATTCAATTACCTTTCAAAAATTGTATTATAAATTTTACGTGTAACATATACTTAGGGAGTTAGGCCCCATAACATTTTTCTTTTCTTTATAACTTTTTTCCTGATTTTTTAAGGAAATTTAATCTATATACGAAAATTGAAAGAACATTGATTAGAATATTATAGGAAAGTTTCATCGAAATCGTTAGAGCCGTTTTTGCGCTACAGTCTATAGAAAAACATGTTTTTCATTTATTGCGTGCAAGCTATTGCGCATCGGGACGGAATTTCTGTCACAGGCATCAGTAGTCAAAACCCTACAAAATAAAAAAAGAAGCAACAAAATCGGTTCTGTAGTTCCCAAGAAAATCTTGACACAGACAGACAGACAGACAGACAGACAGACCAATGGCTTAATTTTAACACATAAAGGTGCATTTAGACATTTCACAAACTATGGGAAACACAAATATCTAACTTAATTAATAGAGGCATTATTATTAAACCAAACTATTTATTTCATTTCTTATGATATCGAGAGCAAATGGAAGATATTAAAAACAAAAATACAAGCATAGTGAAATGACTATTTATATATTTATTTGCCCCATAGTTGGTAAAATCCCTAAACCAAGCTCAAAAATTAT